TTGATTCTTAAGGACTGAATTTTAGCATTCAACTTTTTACTATTTCCATAAAAATCACAGACCAAATGCCTTATTCTGTAAAATTAAAACCCATTTTAAAATAATCTCATAGTATTTAATCAAATTAAAACAAAGTATTCATTAAGTGTGACCATTCGGTAAGGGTATTAAAAAGCTTCTCTCGTTACTGTCATGTCTGCTCACCATATTATAAATTGACCAGGCCCCTTTAAAGGACAATCTGGCAGTACTCCAAAAATGATTTATCTGTTAAAGCCTCTTGAGCCAGTGATCCCACTTCTGAGAACTAGGGTGAGGAAGTAATCTGAAAAATTGAGAGACTTACGTTCATGAAGATGTCCACTTTGACATTTTTATCCTAATTAAAATTGGAAGAAAGATAAATGCTAAAAGTAGGAAACTTCTTAATTTTTAGTCATAACATCCCAAAACAGGAAGGCACATTTATGTTCAAAACAGAGGATAGTGTACAGAAGACCCCTAACATTTTAATGCATTTTAGATGTTAAAACCAGTCCAGGCACAAAAGGCCTTTTCTAAGCAATGCTTTACCAGGACTGATTCTGCTATTTCAGCCACTTAAAAGTAAACTACTGTGATGTTTTCTTTGTACACTTGTGATTAATCTTGTTGCATATAGAAGATGCCTAATAGATACGGGTCTACATGATATAAAGACTTATGGTGTGAAAGACAGTGTTTTAAGATATCATCAGTTGGACTATTTACAAAAATTAAGCCAAATTAAAGAGTTTTACCAAAAGAGCTTCCCCATCAGAGTTGACACTGGTTTTTTTGTTGTCGTTTTGTTTCCTTGTTGCTTTTCACTAACACAAAATTTTCCATTATACTTGTATATCTTCATTATTTTCTGGTCATTCCTGCCTAGGATTTTGTTCCTTCACACTGACAGGAGGAAAGATGCCTGCCCCACATTTTCACGAAGTGGAGCATTTGTCCCTGTCTTCTTTCCACTGATCTTAGCTGAAGCCAGCAGTCTCTGCAGTATCTCAGGTTCAGACATCACACAAGAGTGCGTTATCATTACTAGGACTGTTATTATTGAAGCATTTCTATACTCACTACTAAGTCAAGACTTTTTAAAAATGTGTTTTTGAGACGAGGTCATACCATGTAGCCCAGGGTAAACTTGAACTCTCATCAATCTTCCTGCCTCGGTCTCCTGAGTGCTGGGATTACTGGTATGCACCACCATACCCTATTGGGGTGGGTTTTCAAATTAAAAAATCAAACCCAGTGGGATGGCACAATCCTGCAATCCCAGAAACAGGTAAACTGAGGAGGGAGAATCACGAGTCAGAAACTAGGCAGTACTACATAGTAAGACTTGACTCAAAAGCTAAACAAAGTTAAAGAAACAAACACGTTAACTTGATTGTAATTCTTCTGTTAAAACCCCTGTATCAGAGGGGACAGAGCTATTATCTACAGCTGAGATAATTTTGTGGCTGTACAGAAAGATTCTCCTCATTCTTCTTAACTTCTCTTTGGCCTAGCGTATCAGTCAGTGCTTACTAGAGAAACAGATTTAATGCAAGATATGCAATTACATAAGAATTTACAGGATTGCTTTTTACTGGCTGCCTGCAGTCAGGAGTGGAAAAGTGCGGAAAGGTGGTCTGTGTACCAGAAATCCGAAGGATCCAGCTGAAGGCCTGCACCTTGCTCTAGAGTTCTGCAGAAGTCCAGACCAGGCTCTGGGTTGGAAACCAGAAAACAATGTCTGTGGTGAAAGCAAAAACTGGAGTTCCCCTGAGAAAACAGAAGCCAGCCTTCCACCTTGTTTCTCTTTTATTCACTCAGGTGGCTGGAAGCAGGCCTACTGCTTGGCGCTACTCACACCAGGAGCAAGGAGTCCTCTGTCATCACTAAATCCCTCAGCCACACCCAGAACTATGCTGATCCAGTCAGTTCATGGGGTGTTTCGGACTCAAACTGACACAGTCAGTTAACTATCACACCTTGCATATTTTAGATGTACATTTGTTTATTTATCCCTTATATTGATGAACAGTTAGATGGTCTAGGACCATTCCTGATTTTTTAAATTGCAAATTCCAAGCTGTTGAGCATGTGAACATGTGGATATATATGTGTGCATATGGGTATTAGTACATGTTATATGGATTACATGTGCCACTACTGTAGAAAATAGTTTATTTAGTTAGCTAATGAGTAAGGCAACTAGTTAATGGGAAGGCCTAAGATAGAGTAGGGCAACCAGGCATGCTGATAAAAATTAAGAATAGGCAGTGAACCACTTTGGACAATGACTGGATTACCCACTCCATACTAAGAGGAGGTGCAGCCACTCTCTACTAAATTCCTGAGTTTTGAGGAAATTATAATGCTGATTAACAAAGTTCCTTCTGAGATCCCAGTTTCCTGTAAACCCTACATGTTGAAGAACTCGGTTAAATGCTGGTCATTTTAAATCCAACTGGTCATTTTAAATCCACAGAGCTACCTGTGATAGGTGACCACTGAACAATTGAACAATTTTTGTCCTCTGTTTCTAATTAGCTCTACATCTGGGGGTTACCCTGTTGTAGCTTGACATAACTGACGCCATCTTGAGGCCTGCATTTAACTAGTGCCCTGTATTTGACCCAGGAAAATGGAAAATTACCGGAGTATAAGATCCATGAGAGGGGCTGGGGATTTAGCTCAGCGGCATAAGCGCCTGCCTTGCAAGCAGGCAGTCATGAGTTCCATCCCTGGTACTGATGATTTAAAAAAAAAAAAAATCCATGAGAAAAGCAGAATGAGCTGTACCCACAAGAGAAAAATTAACCTGCTTAACAAAAGAAGCAGGATACATTAATGTAAGATTCTAGCTAAATTTGTTTCCAATAGGATGTCTTTTTGTGGTTCTGTGTTTAAAAGCTTTGTAATTTTCCTATTAAAGGCCACTCAGTGAGACTCTGAAATGGGTCCACACGAGTGGTTGCTGAGCTCAGCTAATTAAATTCCAAATTTATCACTTTGGCTGCTTGGATTCCTATATTGATTACAAACTCACCTCAACCCCATTAGGGACCCCTTCTGGAAACCCAGGAGCAATTCTCCTCTTTATTTCCAATAAAAATTCTCTGAACCTTTGGTTCTTAACTTCCTTGTTCAGTGTTTATGGAATCACAAGCCTAGTAAACATTGTGTCACTATTCTATTGAATCTAATTATTTTGGAGCTCCAAGGGTCAAGTACAAGTTTGGGTTGTCTATTCCAGGACTGAGCTTCTATGGATCAGGTCAGACGGACTCACATTACTGATTAGCTGAAGCCCTATGCAACTGTACTTCAGAAGCCTGGCTGAAGTGACTCAGAGATGTACTAATCATATCTGAAATTTTAGGAACAATTTTTGGCATTTTAAGAAGTCATTAGTATAAGGAAGACATGGGCCAAAGAAAGGCTCAAGACTAGAAATAAGCGGGATGCAGTGGCCCATGCCTGTAATCCCAGCACTTGGGAGGCTGAGGCAGGAGGATCGTTGCGAGTTCGAGACCAGCCTAGGCTACAAAGTGAGCTCAAGGCCAGCCTGAACTGCACAGGGAGACCCTGTCTCAAAAAGACAAAAAAAAAAAAAAAAAAAGAAAAAGAAAAAGAAAAAGAACAAGAGGGCAGGGGGTGGGGGGTGGGAGGGGAGTGGGGGGGGGGGGCTGGAGACTAGAAACAAAAGAACAACAAAACAAAAGCTATTGGTATGTTGACCAAATTCATCTGGCTGAAAATTATTTATCTAGAGACACTGAGAAACAACTATATGCTAGACTCTGCTCTAGACACTGAGGGCTCAGCACTGAAAGTGAAAGTCCCTATCCTCGTGGAACTCATATTAGCAGGGAAGATGCATGTGAGGAATTGTGGTTATCTCACCAATGTTTCTTTACAAGCTGTGTTGTAATTAGTGGTTGTGCAGAGGACAATTAGAATCAGGACACGGAATTTATAAAATTATTTTATGATGGTCACCCAGAGTAAAATTCAAGAAAGTGCAGGAAATCTGTCCACAACACTAAAGACTCACAATATTCAGCCAAGGGCCTGAGTCCCACAGCAATGTCCTGCATTAGTCTGCATGAAAACCTAGAGCCCATGACAATGCCTCCCACAAGTCCAACTGGAAGCCTAGAGCCCACAAGAAGGACTCACACCAGTCTGTTTCACAGATGCGCTGGGAAGGCCCAAAGGTCAGTGGTAGAAAGTCTATGCCAGGGGGGAGAAGGAGCTGTGCTGGTAGGTTGAGGGTTTTACACTGGAGCGGAGAAGTCATGTTCAAAATAAGAACCAGGGCTGCCCTGAAAAGCACCACAGCCATCTTCAGTGACTTGGAGGTCCCGAGCTCCTCCGACGATAAGCAGTCGAGTACATACAGAAAGCCAGCATGACAAGTTCCTCCTGGAGATTAAACAGCACACGTTTTCCCCTCCAGAGCCAGGAAGCAATGCTCCATTGCAGGACTAGAGCTCCCCCAAAGTCACTCTCCCCAACAAGGTCCCAAGCTCCTCTGATGACGATGGTCGAACTCACACTGGGGAAACTAGTCATGACAAGCTCCTCCAGGAGAACCAATGGCTCAAACAGCAACACTTAATTCAGCCGGTGTTAAGTTGACTACCAGTTTTTAATCCATAACAAGCTGCCTTGCAGCCATCAGAGAACCCTGTGGTAGAACACTAACTTTCCACCACATAAGCTATGTGCAAAAACTAGGCACTCATCACTAGGTAATATAACTGCTTGTCATGTCTTAAAGAATACCATTTTATTCCCCAGTCCCAGTAGGCTGTCAAAGGTCCCTTTCCAGTACAAGCATATAGATTTTACTGAGATCCCTCAGTCGCTAACATTAGTCAATCTTTATGTATATGTTAAAGTTACCTGAAAGACTGTTTCTAGCAATACTTCGTGCACTGGACCTATCAAACAAGAATATGATGTCAGGCTTCAAACAGCAAATGCCTGTCCCTACAATGGAGATGGATGGACAACAGAGCCACCATGACCTGATGAAAGTATCCCTGGGATGACATTTCCACGCTTCCTCCTCACGGGACTATGGAATATGAAAAGCCCAGCCTTTTGCCCAGATGGTGTATGCATTTCTAGGAAGCACAAGCTGCTCTCTTGCAGCACATCAGTGCACTCTTAACGCTTTTAGGTCCCTTGATTACTGGTAAATTCTTTTTACCTCCCAGCCTTTCACACACTGCACCCCCAAAGGCAACAGACAAAAATAAACGAGGACAACAGAGGTAAGTTAGGTGATAAGTGAAAGAGGAAAAACAAAAGGCAAGAAAAGGATATGAGAGAGCTAGGAGTTACAACTTTTATTTGTTTCGGGATATGTTGTTCACAAGGGTGTGAGACTCGTGAGTTCAAGTGATCCTTCTGCCTCAGCTGCCTTGAGAAGCTGAGATCACAGGTAAGCACCACCACATCCTCTGAGGAGTCCCAGCTTTAAATAGGTCAGTCCAGTTCTCCTGAGGGGATAATTGTGCAAAGATGTGACGCAGTCAGGGGAGCCGGGGGGCAAAGCATTCAGGCAGGAGAACCACTAGGCCAAAGGAAGCAACTCTGAACTTGCCCTGTGTTTGGGAGGAGCAGAGGCCCTGGGAAGTCACAGAGTATGGGCGGAAGAGAAGGAAGATGAGGCGGGAACAGGGCAGAGGTCAGATCATGCAGGGTGTTGAAAGTCAGTGGCAGACGTGCCTTCTGTTCTGAGCGAGACAGTCACTGGAGGGGTTTGAACATGAGAGTGTCAGGAGCCCCTCAAAATGATCATTTCCAAGCATGGAGCATGAATATCAGTGTTTTACCAGGAGAGTGATAGGCCAGAGGAAAGGCTTTTAGAAAACTGAAAGTTTCCTTGAGCTTTGTACTATTTCAGGCATGTATTTGTTAGCAAAAAAGTAGTATTATAAGTCATCTCAACAATTTACACAGAATAAGAATATGGAGTTATGAAATAGGTCTGTGCTTTCTCTTTCTTTTGCAGGGTGGATACTGGGAATTAAATGTAGGACCTTGTGCTTACCAGGCAGCTGCTTATGCCACAGAGTTATATCCACAGATCAGGTCTTTACTTTCAACATGACATGTTTATATTTTTGTTTTGTTTTTTTGAGACACAGTCTTGCTATCTATTCCAAACTGACCTTCAACTCACTGCATAGCTTATACTGGCCTTGAACTTTGGTGACTTTCTGCCTCAGCTGGGACTACTAGTAAGTATCACCATGCCTAGTATACACTTCTAACAAAGGCATAATTGATGAGAATTTATGAAAATAATTCTTCATGTGTGTGTGTGTTTTTGAGACAGGGTCTCACTATGCAGTTCAGGCTGGCATTGAGTTCACTTTGTAGCTCAGGCTGATCTCAAACTCACAATGATCCTCCTGCCTCAGCCTTCTGAGTGCTAGCATAAGAGGCATGCATTACCATGCCCAGCAATTGAAAATAATTCTGAAAAAAACAAAAGAAAAAAAGAAAAGAAAAGAATTCTTCAGAGAGGACTGAGGAGAGGAGATTAGAGTATGGCCAGCTGGCCAGGTAAGTAGGTGTCACATAGGTAAGACAGGTCAGTCACATAGATCTACGACACATGTGCAGGAAAAACAAAACAAACCCCCTCCCTGAAAATAAAACAAAACAAGAAACTCCCAGAAGTTCCCAATCCCTGCACCTAGGACAAATCTGAAAATGCTATATTCAATTCTTCTGGCACCAGACCACGCAGTATTTTTTTAATACTATAAGGAAGAATGATGTTTATTTGTTTGTTTTTTGTCTTTTTGAGACAGGGCTTGCTATACAGTTCAGGCTGGCCTTGAGCTCACTTTGTAGGCCAGGCTGGTCTCGAACTTTCAATGATCCTCCTGCCTTAGCTCCTGAGTGCTGGGATCATAAATGTGTGCCACCATGCCAGGCTTACGTACTATTTTTTTTAAATGCTGTATCTAAATGCAAGGAAAAATAGTAACTGTATAATATGACAAAGTTAATATTGATTAGAAAGCTCAATTATTTCTACAATTTGTTATAATATATCCCAAGATAGCATTTGTCAGCAGGTGAGCTTCCTATTTAATTGGCATGATTGAATAATTAGATGTATCCTCAAAGCAGCAATAAAATAAAATTCTCATGTTTCAGTAATGTGGTTGAGGTTTACATTCTGTTTTGATTTACCCCTGGGTTTATCCAACCAAAGCCAGGGAGCCTCCAGTTTTATCTAATAATAATTTTTAATTTAAAATATTTGGTATGACCAGGGATGTAGCTCAGTGGCACAGTGCTTCCGTGGCAAGTGCAAGACCCTCAGTTCGATTCCAAATACAAAAACAAACAAACAAACAACCCCCCCCCAAAACAAAAACCCTGGTAATTGTGTGATAATATAATTGCCTTCATCATAAGAATAATGGCAACCTGGTGTGGTGGTTCATTCCTGCAATTCTAGCAGGGGCTGAGGCAGGAGGATTGCCATGAGTTCAAAGCTAGCCTGGATTACAGAACTCAGAAAACAAACAAGCAAACCAACTAACCTGCCCAAAAATGATGGAAAAATTCCTGAATTTGACCGGACTGTTATAGCTTGTCTCTTGCTCTTCCTGAATCCTTCAGCACCTCACTGTCTCCTTCCCAGACCCTTGAGGAGTCTTCTGACAGCCTTTTCTCTCTCTCTTCCCCCGCAGGTGTTTTTCTCAGGTGAGTTGATATTCTAGAAGAGAAATTTGCGGTTTATCAGGTTGTAAACATTTTCCTCTTGCTCTCAAGTCATTTTGGGGGCAATGAAGATGGAAGCTAATAAAACTGCAGGCAGCTATTACTGTGACTTTTTAGTCTCACTGACCCAGAATAGTGACTGGTTATAGGTGTATTTAAAGACTGTCAGCAGGGCATAAAACTTGGCACCCCTTTGTATATTCAGTCTAAATTATTATTAATATTTTTATGCATCTTATTGGTCATATTTTCTTGCTAGATATTTAAGATAAGTTTAAATGAGACCTATATTAATTAGATTTTTTTTGTACTGGGGATTGAACTCACAACCTTGCATTTGTCAGGCAGGTACCTACACCACTGAGCTAAATTCCCAGCCTTATTAATTAGAATTGAACTTATGTTAAATGTTATGGTCAGTTTATAAACTCTGGGAAGCCCAGGGTTTACCTTTGGAACCATGTACAGAGTCTTTTAGTTCTTCTACCAGTGTCATCTGCCAGGATGAGTTATGGTTTTACTTGATCATATGGCTTCCTGTGGAAGCATGGGAGACTTTTATTGTCTTTCTTTTTCTTTTCTTTTCATTTTTTTTAGACAGGTCCTGCTATGTAGCTCAGGCTGGCTTTAAACTCACTTTGTAACCCAGGCTGACCTTGAATTCATTGTGATCCTTCTGCCTCAGCTTCCAAAGTTTGGGAGTATAGGCATGTCCCACCATGCCCCACCTTTCTTTCTTTAGTGACCCTCCTTTGAGCACAATGAACATTGGATGGCGTCTGTTCTCTGAGGTCTAACAATGTCCATGGTCAGGTGGTTGGCTGACTCACCAGAGTTGTTGGTTCACATGGAAAGATTTCCTTCTGTCCTTGTTGACTTTGGAGACCAGAACGAAAACATTGGCTGCTTCCTTAGCCCAGTTATGTATTTAGCTTTGGTCTCAGAGCCTTAGTTGCTGAACACTGAGAAGATCAGTTGCAATAGTATTGAAATGAGAGCAACCATGATTGCCTTAGAAGTAAAATTTTATAGAATAGTTCCAGATAATAGTTATAGTTTTTACAGGGAGAGTTTGAAACACAACACTTTAGCACAAAAATTGTGTTGACACTATTAGATGAGAACCCTGGTTTCCCCCCAGTTATTTAAATTTGTATTTTAATCTATAATACCTTATCACAGAAAAGCTGTAGATTGCTAGATGGAATATTTATTCACTATCTCTTTTTATTACAAAACAAATTTGAAGTGTTGTCTTTTTGTAACAGAGCTGAGTCTACACAGAAAGGCCTGCAAAAATTAGGACCAATGAAACGAAAGCCTATACATAAGGCACAGAGGGCATCTGAGGGCATTTACCCCAATTTTTATTTTTATTTTATTTATTTATTTTTTATCAATACCGGGGATAGAACTCATGACCGCCTGCTTGCAAGGCAGGTGCTTATGCCACTGAGCTAAATCCCCAGCCCCTTACCCCAATTTTTAAAAAGTAGGTATAATTGGAGCATTTTATTATAAATGTTATTTTCTCCTATTGGCCAAGTCTTGCCATATTCCGGTAGATACCCTACCCATACCTGTGTGCTGAAAAAAATCAACATCTTTTTAAATGAATGAAGATAAAATTTCACCAAATGTTGAGGATACACCCCAGAGGTATGTTTGTAGAAGGAAAGCTAATGAAATTTCCTATCTGAAATGCACACATGAAGAAGGTGGGAAGCATAAGGGTGTCCCTGTCAGGACCGCCTGACAACCACCTTTCCCAGCCTCTGTGTTCACAGTAACAGTAGAGGAAGACTAACCTCCCCGTATTATACCAGCAGCAGCTGCATCGCGCCCTGTGGGGCAGCATGATGGGAACTGTTGGCTTTGTGGGAGTGTTTCCCCTTGTTCATGGCTGCACTAGGGAACTTCTTGCCCCTCCATATCACCTCAAAACAATGTGTCCCTGTACCCTCCTGACTGCAGTCTCGAGGTGCTCTAGTCAGCACCTGAGAGGAAACAGAAGGGGTCCCACTTCCTGGGGCAGCTTCTGAGGTCCCCTTCACCTGAAGGATCCCGGGGCCAGAATAAATCTTGAGGACTTTCCCATGAATGGTGGAAAGACCTCTAGAAAATGTTCTACACTGATCAAGACATGTCAAGTGTCTGGATTTATTCTAGGGAAAACAAAAATATCTTAAGAGATGTACCTGGCCAGTAGAAGTGACTCAGGAAATAAACATTAACCATTTCTGTACTAAGCTCTATGCCCCATGGATGTTGTAATGTGAGTTGACCCAGGAAGAGAAATCTTGCCTGTGTGTTGGGCAGGTGGTTCTCTGCTGAATATCTTTTTAGCCCAGCCCAAAGAAAAGCTGATGAGCCTTTTACCTAAGGAAAGGTACCCTATGAATATCTTCCTGAGAGTCAACTGGGCACCTGGAACATTGAGGGACCAGGAAGAAACAAGAGGTGGCCTAGAATCTTAATGTATTCTTTCCCCAACCAGACTATTAGTGTGTGTTTGAAGAGGAAAAGGTCAGCCATAATGACATAAAGAAAAGTCCAAACCTGTAGCTCGACTCTTAATAGAGGCTTACCAGAGGGCTCCCATAGTGTTTCAGGTCACTTTGTAGCAGAGGAGTCCAGGAGATCACCAGGAGAAATTTACTTCTCATCTCTCAGAGAAGTGTAGCTGAGGATGACAGTTAAGTGCAGATTTTTCTACTGGTTACTCAATCAGACTGTCGAGACCCACCTTCCACTGAGGAACCTTTGGGTGCCCGCTAAGGAGCTGTCCCCACCATGGTCTCTCAATTGCCCACTCAGCTTTCACTGGTTACGTGGAGCCAGAGATCGGTCTCTGGAAAGAAATCCAGCTCCTTGTCTGGTCAACATTCCTACTGGCTTGGCCAGGAGGTGCTGGGGAAAATGTTCTCTCCCTTAAGTAGCTGCTTACTCTAGGAGTGTTTAGAAGTTGGCAATAGGGTCAGGCAAAGATTGTGTGCATGTACATTCAGCCATCCTGCCACTCTTACCTGTCCATAGAGAAGATGATGGCCCACATTGGACGCCAAAGATGTAACCAACCAGTTCTCCTGTCCTTGTTTTGGGGCAGTGAAGACTGACGTCGACAAAACAGCAAGCAGCAAGTGGTGTGAAACAGCAAATGCATGTTTATTAGAAAGAATAAAAGGAAGAGCTTCTGGCTAGTGGAGGAGGGGTTCCAGAAGGTGGACACACACACGTGTAAGTCTGTTAGCTTTTTTTGTGTGTGTGTGTTTTGTTTTTATCGGTACCAGGGATCGAACTCACAACTGCCTGCTTGCAAGGCAGGCGCTTATGTCGCTGAGCTAAATCCCCAGCCCAGTCTGTTAGCTTTTTATACAGTTTTTGGTATCAGTGTGTTTGTGTGTCAGAAAAACTGCTCCATTTCTTTTCACCTACTTCAAGGCTTCCCCCATTTGTTGAGAGACTGCTTAGTCTCTTGCATTCCATTAGGCTCTGAAAGTTTGCTGAAGTTAGTTTTTTGCGTCTTCTTGTATTTTAGCTCACTTAAATCCCAACTTTAAGTTTACTTTAGGTTAACTATTCAGGACCTGTGCCCTATCTGCCTAACTTCCTCTAACTCCTTGCTTCAAGACAGTCACACATTAATTTATAAATAACACAAAACTCTACCACAGAGGCTTAACCAAATAGGGGTTTGTCTCATGCATTACAAAGTATAAAGTTAGGCACAACTGCTTCGGTTGCTTCCAGAGTTCCAGTCGCCTTCCACCATTCTTGCCCGCTATGCTTGATGTATACACTCTGATCCTAGTTGCTACATAAATGCAACATGGCTGCCATGCATTCACACCTTACGTCTACAGCTCAGGTAGGAAATAGCAGAGGGTGTAGAGGACAAGAGTCTTGGGAAGACTTTGTCTTTCACTGCTTTCTGTGAAAGGAAGGCCTTCAAAAGCTCTCGTAGTTTCATAAAGAAGCTGAATAATGGTACATTTTTGATTATAGTGCAAAGTCCCTTTCTCTTTGTATTCTGCAATATGACATTGTACGATGACTTCTTACCTAACTTTGGGAATTTGTGGATTTATGCTAACCTTTCCTTATGAACCAATACTATGTGTAGATACACAGAAAGAGATTTATTTTAAGGAACTAAGGGCTATACTTCAGTGGTTGAGAGTGTGCTTAGATCCTGGGTTCAGTCTCTGCACAGACAGGTAGACAGGCAGACAGACACACATACACTCATAAAATTCCACCAATTTAAATGACAATCTCATCTAAAAACATCTTACAGAAACATCCAGAATAGTATTTGATCATATATCTGAGTACCCTGGTCTAGCCTCAAAAAGGACAGAGAAGTGGCCAGAAAAATGATAGGGAATTTACAATGTGTAGTGTCACATGAATAAAAAGTATAGGGATTAAGAAAGCCAGAGTGGTCCCTAGTGGTAAATAGTGAGATAAAATCAGATTGAGGCAGGAGTTTAGGGTGTGACCAGCTTGTTGGAGAAGGGGCCATAATCTGTCAATTATGGAGATCCAGGACATGCATAGAATAATTGTTATGAGCCCTATACCTGACACCAATTAAAAGTGCTATCTCCAGTTCATTTCACAAGCACTCAGGCCAGTTGCTAGGACAGCCTACACCTGACATCAGCCTGACGCGTGGGAGATATAAAACATGGCTGCCGCTAAGCTGGTAGCCGTGTAACCTCTTTTAGTGGTCCACTGTGCACTTGGCAGTGTGAGTTTTTTGTCCCACTTTAAATTGGCCCACACTGTTCAATACAGTATATTTCTCTTCCTACCTTTAACACCTTTAATAAATGTAAAACCTTATTTTATTTACTTTTTTGCTTGTCTTGACCAGGACACCAAGAACCTAGAGAGTATTTTCAAGAACACCCCAGGACCCCAGAACCCTGCTAACAAGTTGAGACTGGGAGTTTTCCTTTAAATCTATGAACATGGAAGTTGCTGGAGAATTTAGAACAGCATGAGGTGGGGAATCCAGATTGGAGGAACCTGGAAATACGCGAGGGGTGTATGTGCGTGTGTGTGCGTGCATGTGTGTGTAAGTGGAGTCACCCAATAAGGAAATTCTTTTAGGTCATTCTATTTTGCAGTTAAATTTCTCAAAAAATCTGGAGTTAAGCCATTCCCTCCTTGTCGCTCTCTATGCTCAGGCATTTAGTGATTTCATCCAGTCTGATGTCTTTAAAGGTCATTGCTGTGTTAGAGACTGATTGAATCTGTTATCTGAAGCCTTTCTTAAACTCTATACTTTGCTGTGCAGCCTTTTGAAAGACGAATGGAGCCTTTTTCTCAGTAATATATCCAATCTTTCTAGTTGATCAGGTCAAAATTTGGAGTTTCCCTCATGTTCCTTCCTTGTTGATTCTGTGCTAAATCCTGTACTTTCTACCTTTAAAATATATCCCAGACCTAACCATGTCTCACCTGTGCGCTGCCACCAGATCTCCTGCCATGGGTCTCCATGCCTCAACCGTTGCTGTCCTGGTCTGTTTCCAACATAGAGACCCAAGCGAACCTTTTTTTATTTAACTTTTTTATTTTAAAGAGAGGAAAAAAATTTCACTAAATTTCAAAACATAATAATTAGAGGGTAACATCGGTTAATACACTGTGCATTGTTATCTTCAAATCAGTTACAGTACAAGGTATCTGCATCTGCATTTAATTGTCCAAACAATACTAGCACAAACCTTTTTGTTCAGTGAAATCAGTGGTATAAATATCTTTTAGCTTCTCACACTAGGGAGACAATATGACCTTTACATATGTGAGTCTGATTTATTTCACTTACAACTATGGTCTCAAGTTGCATCCATTTACCTATAAAACTTTTCGTTTATCCTTCCTTATGGCTGTGTAGTACCCCATTGTATAAAAATAACATATCCTTTTTATCCATTCCTTGGTCGATGGGCATTTAAGTTGTTTCCAAGATTTAGCTATTACAAATTGTGCTGCTATAAAATAGGTGCACATATATCACTGTGGTATGATGCCAAGCAAACCTTTTAAAAGATGCAAGACCCTTAAGAACTTATGGTCCTCTCAAGAAGAGAGTGCAGGAATTTACTATACTTTTTGCAGTTCTAAGGATTGGACCCGGAGCCTTCACACTGAACTGTCTATCCCTTTAAAATTTTTTTAAATTCTGAGACATGGTCTCATGAAGTCACTCAAGTTCCCAGGTTAGGCTTCCATGTGTGATCCTCCTGCCCAAGCCGCCCAGAACGCTGAGGTTACCGACATGCATCACCACACCAAGTAGGGAACTAATTCTGAATAGCAGAAGGAGAGGAAAAAATAAAGTTGGTATACTGTTTGAGAAGACAACTAATCAATGCTCTTTTTTTTTTTTTGTGAGGCTGGGTCTTGCTCCACAGTTCAGGCTGGCCTCGAACTCCTGGTGATCCTCCTTTAGCCTTCTCTGTGCTGGGATTACAGATGTGCACCACCGTACCTGGCTCCACGCTCAATTTTTAACAAAGGAGATGGTGGAAATCTCACCGGGAAAAGTACAAGTGCAGTCATTATTTTAAAACTCCAGAACCAATCGAGGTAAACAAAAAGCAGGAGCAAATAATTTGATCAGCAGTGACACTAACAGTGCTCATCAGGTGCTATCTGTAAACTGGGTACAAAAAACCAGAACCTAGACTGATCTTGTTTTGTCTTGGGTCCCCAAAGTCCCTCCTGCTAAGTCCCTTTGCAATTCTACTCTATCAGTAAAACCACCTCTAAACTGGTTAGGCCTACTTAAGTATCTGCAGGCACTAGGATGTTAACCCTTGCGATTCTCCTTTGCCCACTATTGCAAGATTGAATCACAGATCCTGTATTTGTTTATTTATTTGTTGATTGATTGTAGTGCTGGGGATTTAACCCGGGTCCTTGCACTTGCTAGGCAAGTGATCTACCACTGAATTCCAGATCCTATATTTAGAATTCATTCCCTCCTCCCCACAAGTCAGCTTTCATCATCCCAGCCCAATGAAAAGTACGATGAGCTCTGTCCCTTGGATCACCCAGGTAGAGTCCCCAGTGGGCCAGTCACGGACTTGTTAGATCAAACCATAAAAACCCTCACCCAAGTGGATGCACAGAAATTCTAGAACTCCCAATGTTAGGGATGTCACATGAGACTTCAATAATCAGAGCAACACATTCTAGAATTACAGAACACTGTCTACTGAGATCCTTGGCTAGCCGATTTCTTTGAAGGCAGTGTGAAGAAACCAGTGTTGATGGAACTCATTCATATTATTGTGTGTAGTTGTAGTTTGTTAATATCCACTGCTGTGTGGTATCCCAGTGTTAATATATCCATAGAACATTAGATGGTTAATGATTTGGTCATTTCTCATTTGGAATAGTTATAAACAATAAATGTTAAAAAATGGAAGTGCATTCTGAGTTTCTTGATGAAAGCTCATTTCTGTAACAATTCCAAGGCCCCACGCCCCGTGCCACTCCTCTACCACCTAATACTTTCCCCCTTGATTATTCAATCCAGTCAAGTCAGACTTTGAGTAGTCATCAAACCTGGCAGTCCCAGATTGCCACAAAGCCATTGCTCTGGCCAGTCCTCCTGCCTGGAACATTAAAACCTCCACAAGGGTCTCCTCCTACTGTCCATGTTCTTCATGAAACCTACATGACCACACTGTCTAAAAATTGCAATTTGGATCTCCAGTTCTCATTTCCCTTTATTCTGCTCTACTTTTTTCAAACAATTATTGTGTAAGTTTACAAACTAGATATTTCATGTTGTTTGTGATTTAACTATTGTCCCTCCCCAGATTAGATGAAATGAGGCAGGAGATTAGGGTGTGTGACCAGCTGGCTGGGCAAATAGGCATGACCTATCAATCACGGAAATCCAGACACATGCAGAAAAAGTTCCACAGCCCACACCAGGGACTCATCAGAAAATGCTATTTTCAATTCTACTGGCACAAAATCAAGCAGGGTTTTGATAGAATGGCTTAGATCTGACATCAACCTGAGGAGTGGGAATGTAAGACAGTTGCCTTGTGGTCACTGCATGTATGCCTTAATAGCCAGCCCACTGTCATTCTGAAGAACATACTCCTTTTTCCTACCTTTAATAAACATAAAACCTTTTATGTTTGTTTTGTCCTGTTCTTTTTTGAGGATAAGAACCTGGAAAGAGTTGCTAGAAGGAGCCCACAGCATCCTAAGATCACAGTAACAGAAAGCCTTAGAGAGTAGGATTTCTGTTTATTTGTTCAGATATAAAATGTAAACTCCTAGCTGTGCCTGGCACATGTAGGAGTTCAATGAGTACTTATGTTGGAGAGGAAGAAAATGAAAGGGAAGGAGGGAGAAAAAAAGGGAGAAATTATGCCTGGAAGAAAAGGAAATAATAGGGCAACGGAATTCACAAAAAAGTTTTCTAAGATGGGAAAGATTTGAACATACCTCACATCTAAGGAACCAGTAGAGGGTAAAGACACAAGAGGAGAATGAGTTGAACCAGTTTCCTGCGAGTGTGAGAAGAAATGGGATCCAGAGGACAGGTGGTGGGATTAGTCCAGGGAGGAAAAGTCCAGGGCTGCAAAGACCGCTTTTCAAGCTCAGTGACGATCTCATCACCTCCTCAGCAAGGGTGCGGAGACTATAACCTTTCCATGGGATTTGTACTGCTATGCAAGAATTGGCTCCTGGGAGTCTGAGCCTCCCTCCTAATGGCTCGGCTTGGAAATTCTCAACCAATAACCCTCCCCACTGCCACCACTCCCATCTGCTTCGACAGGCCAGCAGGTGACCTCTGTAACTGCAGGGAATGAAGAAGGGCAGGGTGTTGATGCAGATAAGTTACAGGCTTATGAGAGGACCGCAGGAGGAAGAGCTACTCTTGCAGGTTGTTTTTCACAGGAGCCGATGAGGTCATCTGCTGTGGTTGAATTGTGCTGCTCACAACGGGGAAGGAGAGTGGAGTTTGGATTTATTTTTATTATGGAAAATAGGAGAATATGCAAAATTGCTCTGTGGTAATAGATAATGAAAGCTTACTGGGGGAACACAGGGTTGTATCTAGGTTAGGGGTATAAACTCATGGTTACTAGGCCTTGCTCGGTTGTGCAATGTGGCAAATGCTTAGGGCAGGTATGGAATTTTGCATCAGGGCCGAATTATTTTCTTTGATCAGGTGGGTGAATTAGAATGATTGGGTGGGGGACCAGGGATTTAGCTCAGCAGCATAAGCGCCTGCCTGGCAAGCCCTAGGTCGTGGATTCGATCCCTGGTACAAAAAAAAAAAAAAAAAAAAAGAATGATGGGGTGGTCATTCAAGGTGGCAAAAGTATCCTGACTGGCCAGATGGACAATGAAACCTAAGCTAGGCAAGGAGGAAAAAGAGTGAAGACAAAAGAGGGCCAGTAGGATACAATCAAGGATTCTATGGACTACAGCAGGGCCAGATCCCGAAATCACTATGTAGTCTGGGGTAAGGGCCACAACCTCTGTTTTTGCAAGGGGTCTAGTTGACTGTGATGTAAGATGGTGATGGATGATTTTTTTTTTTTTTTGAGAAATAGTGGAGTTAAAATGGTAGTTTAAAGAAGTGATCTGAGAGGATGAGAGTGAGGAAGAGGGAAGGAGCACATGTGAAGCATGAGCCGGAACAGGTGACTATAGCATGAGATGATGACTTTATTACCTCAAAGTGACACAGCCCTGAATGATGAAAGCCTCAGGGTGTGCCCAGGGAGTGGGTGGCTGCAGCACACTGAAGGTGAACATCACCAAACGCTGAGGTCAAGGTCTATGGTTGCTCCTGTGCACTTTGCAGCCACCCAAATAATGGCAGTACTTGGAACAGAGAGGCAAAATCCAGAGACAAGTTCAAGGCCACTGATTATGAAGGGCAGGGATCTACTATTACAAAGGTAAAGAGAACATGTGGGACAGAGGGTTGTAACTGGTTAGCAGTTTGTACACAGTGGAGCAAAAGTGAAACTGGCTGACCTCCTGTGAGTGTTTATTATTTACCAGGCTTTACAAAGATTAGGCTGTTCATCCTCCCAGACCACCTTCATATGAAGCAGTGCTATGTGAAATCTCCATTTATAACTTGGAAACTGAATCACAGAGGTTAAGCTTCTCCCAGTTCTTATCTATTATTGCTATGGTTTTATAAAATGAGAAATGTTTCATTTTTCCACTGTGGTGCTGGGCATAGAACCTGCGGTTTTAAGTACATTCATCATTCAAAAACATCAATGTCTCAGGGGAAGGTGAGACATTTAATACATTTCACCTAAAAAAAAAGTCAAATTCCATAAAGATTATCAGCAGTGAGGTTAACCAGAAAAATTACTCGGATAGTTACTTAAATTTGCTTGTATTGAATTAATTGTTGTTCAATATCCAGCAGGTGGCAGCACTGAGTTACAAGCCATTTAGGCCATCTAGTGGCCAGTCCATATTCTGCACGTCTCAAGATCTCTATCTGATCCAGGCCTTGATGATTTCTTCAGCAGCATCCAATGTACTGTCTTTCTGCAAATTAATGAAATGATTGTAATCATAATATACAGACATAAATTCAAGATAAAGATTCAGATATAAATCTATAGGCCATAATAGCACAAAATGCTCCCTTAAGTGAACATCTGATGTCAGGTGAAGAAAATTTTCCCAAGTGCAAAAGGCAAATGAAGAACCAAAAAAATTAATAAAACCAATTACAGAAACAAGTGAAAGAGTACACAGTAGCTCACAGTGAAAATCTGCTCCAATCCTCCCCATCGTTTCCCATGAACCCTGTCCTCTGCCAACATGATCTTTTACAGCAAGTTCAATCTAATGACCATACTTCTGCTTCTGCTTTATTTGTGAATTTCACATATTGGTCACTGTATGTTGCTCTGTGAATATTTAGTTCACTCTAAGCATTGGTCTGTCCTTCCCTATCAAAATTTCAATTATGGATATTGAAAATTGATCCACTTAGTTTTTGAATAGGTAACTGCATACTTATCATATAAAGTTAATTAAGTTAAAGTGTAAACAGTGAGAGTCTAGCCTGGTGCTTTCCTCTTTTGTTCTGTTTTTTTTTTTTTCCCCTTTCTTTCTGTTCCCTGCCAAATGATTCAGTATGGAAGCCACTAGGTGTGGCGAGGCAAAGTCCATGTCCAGAAGCTGAGGCTCCCATCCCATGCAGGCTGCCTGCCTCCCTCAGGGGATCGGAGTGTGAGTGGGGCAAGCAGGATGGTCAAGTGGGTGGCAGAAGGTGCTGGAAGGAGCGGGGCTGGTGGTGTGCACTTGTGATCACAGCACTCTGGAAGGCTGAGGCAGGAGGATCACAAATTAGAGCCCAGTTTTAGCAACTTAGGAACTTAACAAGAACCTGTCTCAAAAGCAAAAAGAACAAAACAAAAACAGTTGGGGATGTACTGTGACACAAAGGCCCTGTGTTCAAACTCCAACTCGGCTCCTCTCCTCTCAAAAAGAAAAAAAAAAAGTAGGGTGGCAGTGATGATACTGAGCTGAAACAGAGTCAGAGCTTTGTGGGGGAGGCCCCGGCTTGCGTTTTGTTTTGTTGCTGTTTTTGAGACAGGGTCTCAGTCTGTAGCCCTTGCTGGCTCCATGTGGGGTACTGTGCATCTATCTAGCTTGACTGTCAGACTCCAAAAGGGGTGGTGGAGGGTGGCAGTGAGAGGCAGAGGTGGCCTGGAGTGGGCCACCATGGCTGGGGACCCATGGGAGGGTGAGTGCAGGCAGGCATGGGTTTGGAGCCAAGGCAGGGAAGAACCATGATCACAGAGGGGTCCCAGACTGGGTGGATAAAGGGGCACCCACCAGAGATTTGGGTGAGTGAGTGGGGGAGGATCGGCACCAATGGGGGACTGATCTCATAAAGGAGTGTTGATCAGTGACATAAATCGTGGCACCAGGCTTTTTACTGTTGAAGAAAGGAGTTACAAATAAGGAAAGGGAGAAAAAGCTACAATAAAATCCGTTGGGAGTTTACAATATATATGTACCAATAAAGAATTAGAAGGATGAAGTTTCAGGAAGGAAGGGAATTTATCTGTAAGGAGAAAAAAGAGCAGCAGACAGTAATAAGCCTTCCCCAGAGAGAGGCAAGAGGGTCTGGAAAAAGATAGGTGTGCCTGAGCCTTTGTCCCTGGCTTCTTTACTAGAGATAAGGTCCCTTCCTTTCTGGTGAACACTGGGAACTTGTCACAATCGGACTGGCTCCCTGGGCTGTCTCTGGATGGGTCCCAGGCCTCAAGACCTTACCCAAGCACTTTTATCCATGTGGACAGCCCCTTTGGTGGGCTTTGACTTTCTCCTCTACTTTTATCTGTGTCTGGCCTTATCTGGGGCTTTATAGCTTGGCTAGGAGTAGTCTTACTGAAAGGGAGCTTAGAGTTAGAGATTAAGTCTGGGGGTGGGTGGGTATGCAGTGGTCACATAGTGACACCAAAGCAAGAACACACACACACACACACTGAAGTTTTCTCTGAATTTAAGTGGCCACCCCTTACTTCTTTTGCATTTTGTTGCAGTAGGGAGTCATTCTGGTTTCTGGGCTCTTGGCTTCCTCTATGTTCTGCTCACCATATCTTCCTCTGGATAATCTCCGTTACAGAGCAGTCCTTCCTTCCTTGTAAATTCTTGTGCTATGTGTGCTATCTGGTGCTTTTCTGAGTCTGGTTTCTTTCTTTCTCTATCTTTGTCCTTTTGCTTGCTCCTAAAGGAATTCTTTAAGTAGTCAGAATTAGCCAGTGAATCTAACTGCATAGGCAAAAGCTGCTGTCAGTAAGATTTTCTACTAACTTCTTTAATAAAGTCAGATTTTCTACTAATAATTTCTTTAATAAAAATCTAATGAGGCCCTTATTTTATTTTTTTCTTTCCCAGAGAACCCTCTCCCTACAAATACTTATCAATACAGAAGTAAATACGTATATAATCAGTCTGTCAGGATCTCTGGTTCTGCACTGGAGCCAACTGCCAACTGGAGATGCTTGAAAAAAAGATATTATGGTGGGCATGGTGATGCACATGTGTAATCTCAGCACTCAAGGAGGCTGAGGCAAAAGAGGAGTGTGAGGCTAGCCTGGGCTGCATAGCAATTCAAGGCCGATTTAGACTACATAACAGGACCCTATCTCAAAAATGTTCTCAGCCAGGTGTGGTGGTGCACACCTGTAATCCCAGGACTTGGGAGGACTGCTGTGAGTTTGAGGCCAGCCTGGGCTACACAAAATAGTCAAGGCCATCCTGAGCTATATAGTGAGACCCTGCCTCAAAAACAAACAATAAACAATGAAACAAAACCCAACAAAAAATAAATTATGTGCTGAACAAGTAGATTTTTTGTTTTTATTCTCTAAACAATACTGTACAACAACTATTTGCATGGCATTTACATTGTATTACATTACAAATAACTCAAATAATTAAATGGTATGCACATGCTATACTATGTAGATAAGGGACTTGAACATTCACAAATTATGGTAATGTGGAGGTCCTGGAACTCCTTGTACAACAGAGGGATGACTGCAAGATCTTTAATCACGATACTTCAACTTGACTTGGCTAAGAAACTCCCAGGAGATTAGTAAAGCATAAGTCTGGGTGTTTCTGGATGGGTCATTAATGAGTGACTGCAGTGATTCTATACAGTCTCTGTCCCCTTTCTCCTTGGTGCCTACTTGCTTAACAGTCACCATGAACTAAGCAGATTCCACCATGATATTCTGGCCTTGGAGCTAGCAAGACCACAGACTCAACCCTCTGAAACCATAAGAAAATTAAAATTTTCCTCCTTTTTTATTTTATTTTTTTGGTTGCTTGAGGTAGAGTCTCAACCTGTAGTCCAGGTTGGTGTTAAACCTATTAAGGAGCCCACACTGGTGTCAAACTCACAGTGATCCTCCTGCCTCAGCTTCTCAAGTGTTGGGATTATAGGCATGCACCACCACACCTGACCATTTCCTCCTTTAAATTGTGAGTATGAGGTATTGTGTCTCAGTGAGAGGAAAGCTGGCTAATACAGGCTACATTTTACATCAATGTGTGCATGCATGTATATGCATTCATACCGTCCCCTCCTCTGTCTACTGGGGGAGTCTGGGAACAGTAACACCCCAATAGCACTGAGCACCCACCCGTACTGTTTAGATGCTGGTTTGTAAGCACCACTCTCTACTGAAAGGAACCTGGACTTACTGGAAATGATTGATTCCAGTGAGTAAAATGGGCATCAATGGGTCATTACTGATACTATTGCATAGTTAAAATGAATAGATTGGTTTATATGACAGGGAATATTTTCATAGTTTCAAAGTACCTTACTGCAAAGTGTCTAATCTATTTTAATGGAAAAAGTATAACTTTACTGCAGAAAAACCTGGAAAATACCATTTAATCCACTTACACCAGTAAGAGCAAAACTGAAATCATGCACCCCCTGATGCAACATAAAGAGGAAAGCAGCACTTCAGCGCTTTCCTGCTGAAGCAAATAATGTCCACTCAATCACCGGGAAACGCAGACTGCAATTCAGGGCTTTCTTCAAAAGAGGTGGCCGATAATTTTCAGAAACTATCAAAATTACAAAGGTCAAAGCAAACTGAAGAAACATTCTGTCTCCAAGGAAACATAGTTATTCATGCAATGCATAATTCTAGATCCATCAGGAAACAGTATTACTAGCTTTCCTTTCATTTTTGCATTCAAATCAGTTGAATATTTACCTTGTCAGGTTGTTAATATTTCTATTCTATTCAGAAGGGGCCTTCCACAGGCTGTTTACAGATTATTTCTAAATGTGAAAAAAGTGTTCACATTATTCTGACACGGTTTTTGAAGAACAAGTTGGTATGAAGAGTGATTGTTATTAGTGCCAATAACATCTTAAAAGCGGCACTGTAACATCTTTGGAATCTTTTTAAGTACAGATCTGATGATGGTGATGAGCTCTCTCAGCTTTTGTCAGTCAGAGATGTCACTTACTTTCACTCTTAAAGAATATGTTCACAGACATAGAGTAGTAGAGGCTGACACAGCCTTTTATTTCTGAGCTTGCATTATATTCCAGTCCCCTTTGTTCCTGGTAAGAAGTTAGGTGACGTCTTGTTTGTTCCTGTGCCTAGGATGTATGGTTTTTCTCTAGTTTTGACAATCTTTTCTTTACGTTTCAGCAATTTAATCATGCCTGGTGTAGGGTTTCTTTTCTTTTTTTTTTTTTTTGAAGACTTGGTCTCACTCTGTAGTCCAGGCTGGCCTGGAACTCATGAACTTTGTAAGTGCTGAGAACCACCATCAAACCCAGGTTTTGCTTTGTTTTAACTTGTTACAGTTTACTGAGTTTCTGACATTTTTAAGTTGCTTTTCACCAAATACTAGAAAATTCTGTCCATTTTTTCTTTTCTTTTCAAATTTCTTTTGGGGGGGGGGAGGATAAGATAGGGCCTTGTGCTGTGTAGTAGAGACTGGCTTTGAATTCACTATGTAGCCCCAGCTGGGCTTGAACTTTTGATTGTCCTGCCTCAGCTCTCCAAATGTTGGGATCAGAGTTGCATCACCACACCTGACTGATTATTCTTTCCAATTTTAGTATATGTGCTGCCAAAGCAAGCACATGACTGACTATTCTTTAAAAGAACACTTTTCTGCCATGTTTTTTCCTTTGTTATTATTATTTTTTTTTAACAGTAGCAAAGTTTTATTAAGGTTGGAAAAAGAAACAAGTACTTCAGAATGAGTTAGGGTCAAGTACAAGTAGGAAAAGACATATGCTCCCCAGGGTGAGGGCGGCCACCACGCAAGAACACAGAGGTCCTTTGTTATTATTTGTGGTACTCCAAGGGCATGCATGTCATCGTCACTTGATACCATGTCTATTTTTAAAAATAACTTTTCTTTTTCCAGATTAGACATTTCTATAGATCTATATTCAAGTTGACATCCCTTCTTCCTGACAGCTTCAATTCTTTGCCAAGTCTGATAAATGTTTCATATGAGATATTACACTTTTAAGTTCTGCGGTTCCACCCGATTTTTAAAAAAGTTCTAATTCCTCTTTTACTACGACCATATTTTCCTTTAATTTACTGAGCACAGTAGTAATATCTGTTTTAAAGCCATTTTCTGTTAATTCCTACTTTTGTGTCACCTGTAGGTATATTTTTATTGAATACTTCTTTTTTTAAATACGGGTCACATCTTCTTGTGTTTTTACATATCTAGTAACTTTTTGTTGTATGCTGGGCACTGTACCTTGGTAAAGAATCTCAAGTATGTTGTCTCCTGTGAAAGAGGCTGAGTTTTGTTCTATTACACAGTGAATTTCAGGGCAGTAAATCAAAATTTAGAAATTGCATATGAGCTTATAATTTTTAAAAATAAAAAAAAAGGTGCTTCATAAATCAGAAGGAAGGATATTATAAATGGGTTTATGAGTGGCTCGTGGAACTTACTTTAATGAAGCAAAAGCGCACAAGCTTCTCGAACTGTGATTTAGTCTCTGAGTCACAGAATGCTGACACTGGGATGGCTGATAGTTTCTGAAAAAATAAATAGGATTAAATAATAACAATTTTGAGGCAACACATATTACACTCTAGTTTTTCCATTTTGAGGACTGAACTCAGAGCTTGACACTTAGCTACATCTGCAGCACATTTTTTATTTTTATTTTATTTTTTGTCTTTTTCCTTTTCATTGGTACCAGGGATCGAACTCGACTACCTGCTTGCAAGGCAGGCATTTATACTGCTGAGCTAAATCCCCAGCCCCCACATTTTTTTATTTTGAGACAGGGTCTTTCTAAGGCACTAAATTCTCCAGGTTGGGTTTAACTTGAAATCCTCCTGCTCCAGCCTCCTAGAGTGCTGAGATTACAGCTGTGTGCTGCACTGCCTAGCTTGATAGTTTGAAACGAAAATGTTTTAAAATCCCCCACCCAGAATCACAGTATAAAATCATGTAACAAAGTCATAACCAATGCTTTTCAAAGCTTGTGAACCTTTCCTCATAAATCAAGTTTAAAATACAACACAATAATGCAAAGGCCAATAAACATTACCTTATTTTTAGTCATCCATTTCACAAATTTATAGTCATAGGGCTCATTGGTCTTCATGTCAGAGAGGTCAACATCTAAAACAACAACAAAAATTAGGTTTGCTTTTGAATTATATCTGAGATGACATACATGTATTTCACTTAAGTCCACTGAGACTCAAAATTTTCTTCTGATTTAATCTGATTGACTTTAGAATTTGGTGGAGGTTTGCAGCACGCTGGAGTCTCTGCGCATTGCAAGGAACAAAGGAAGGCGCGCCAGAGGAGTGGCCCTGAGACCCCGTGGTGAAGCTCACACCTGCCTGGTCCAGTGCACAGACAGCTGTCAGCGCAGGAAGAGAGCAGAAAGGGAAAGAAAGAGTGAGTGTGGCCTTCCCACAGAGAACGAGGACTCCCTGATAATCATTAAGGAAATAATAAGTAATCTGTATTTGTCAGTAATAATGACATTACTGTGAGATTTTAATCTCCGTGAGGGTCAGGCATTTAGTCTGCAACCTACTACACCCCCAACTCTTAGGTCCTCAAGTCATAAAAGGCTTATTTGTTGAATAAGTAAAGTAATACTATTTATTATTCATAAACAGGAAATGGTCGTGTCTCTCCAATATTATACTTGTTGTTTATTTGCTACTTTCATATATTATGATGTTCAACTATGTTTTTATTTTGGAAAAAACTTCAAATATGTATTTCCATTCCTATCATTTTCACCAGTCTGGGCAGGGTATTTTTTCTGGCATTCATATTCAGCAATCTACATTTCCTGTTGTTGGAATTTTACTAGCTTGTACACTCAGATCTTTCAGAATGCCCCCAAAGACCCAATATTGATGGTTACTGTTATCAGTGAAGTTTGTAATTTTTATTACTTGGAACAAACTGAGGGAGATATTTTACTTTTTTAATTAACTAAACACTAGCGGGTGTTTCTCAACTTAATCTTTTAAAAGCCTTGATACCAAAGATATATATTTAAGATATATATATCTATATATTTATTATTTTTTTACCCGATAATTTTCTCTCCAGTCTCTATACTTTAAGGAGATAGCAAATTCCCATATAATAACATTAATAAAATACTACCACTTTTTGAGTACTTCCTGTTTGTTAAGCACGTTGCATAGTTCTCTCATTTAGTCGTCTCAACAATTCTGAGAAACAGCTTCAATTCTCTCTGTATAGAGGAGGAAGTTAGATTACTCTTTCAATACATATGTACAAATGTGTATTCAAGTTTGACCCTAACAAAATGACAGCTTAATAGTATTAGAATCTAATTGTAAATTATGTGAGAATTTGTCACGACGTGACAAGTACACATAGGAGTAAATTGAAGGTATAAAGATAGCAGGGTGTAGACATGACTACCTTCGGATGTAGAAAAAAGAACAGGGGTCACTAACTGTGACCGATGCCTGAACTACTCATTTAAACATTTTTATTATTATATCTTTATGATAACTTAGAAAAATAGGAATTGATTGCCACAGTGCTGGAAAAGGAAAGAAGGAAGGCTTTGTAGTTGGAAACTGGAATTTATTCCTTTCTTAAGACTAAGCTAAAGACTCTCAGGGAATGAAACAAAGTCATTCTTTATCAAAAGAAAGAGTTTAAACCAAATGTATTAGCATATTTAAGCAGTCTATGAAAACCTGACTTGGCTTCTGTATTCTCTTGGCTTCTCCTCCACAGTCCTGAATGAATTCTTGCCAGACAACAACAATAATCTCCTTATCTATCATCTTGCCTTCTAATCAAATGTGCCTCCTTTTAGTTCTGGGGTGAAGCTCACAGTCTGAGATGCTTAGCAGGTACATTCGCTGTACAGGCATGGATGTCTGGGCTCAGTGTCAAGTTCTGTGGTTAAAAGTTTATTAAAGTACTTGATTTTCCGTTCTTTCCCATCAACCAGTGGGGCACAGGCTCTTTACCGTAAGGCTTTCTTAAGAATGTGACATTAGCAAACTTCCTAATACAGTATCTACTGTATCACAAGTGCTTGATATTATTAATTTATAAACTTATAATTACTATGTTCACAGATATTGTCGTTTATTTTTATTCTCAAGCTACCACGAAGCAGAAGTTTTTGTTTTTATCTTTAAGAATGGATACAAGGGCCTGGGATTTAGCTCAGTGGCATAAACCTCTGTCTGGCGAGCCCAAGGTCATGAGTTCAGTCCTCAGTACCAAAAAAAAAAGAATGGATACAAACAACCTCTAGTATATAAAAAGTCGAGACACTGCAAATTAAGAGTAAAATAAAAGTTTTCTTCCTGTGTAGCATGATTTTACAGAGATTAACATTTTTCTCCATGGGGGAAAGAGGACATAAAGAAGGGACGTGTTCCTCACCCCATCCCGAACTGATGACTGTCTGCTTGCAAGGCAGGCGCTTGTGCCGCTGAGCTAAATCCCCCCAGCCCCAAAACAATGGTTTTCTAACACAAATCTTTTCTGTACGATTTTAACCAAGATCTAAGACCTAAACAAATATTGCATAATGGATGAACTAACTAGGAAAACAATGGAAGATTAAGATCTTTTGCATCATTGTCTCTTGACAATTAGTATCACAGTGTGATAAATCCTTTTTTTTTTTTTTTGGTGTTGGAGATCGAACTCATGACCTCACATTTGCCAGGCAGGTGCTTATACCACCGAGCCAAACCGCAGGTCCCTCTTAAGTACTTTTTAGAATTTACTATCTGGAAAAGTTTGGATCCAAAATGAATCATTCTTATATAAAAAGCTGTTAAACTTCCTTCAGCCAAGAATTCTCCTTCTTATTGTTTGTCTTTTTCAGACAAGGTCTCACTATGCAGTTTAGGCTGGTCTTGAACTCACTTTGTAGCCCAGGCTGGTCTTGAACTTGCAATGATCCTCCTGCCTCAGCCTCCCGAGTGCTGGAATTCAGGCATGAGCCACCATGCCCGGCTTGAACTACATTCTTATATTTTTTTATTTTTTTAATTTTGAGACAGGCTCTTGCCAAGTCTCTAAGTTGACTACTGGCTCATCTTTACCATCCCCCTGCCTCGGCCTCCCAGAATACTGGAATTATAGGCATGCAACAAGATGTTTGGCTTATAGAACACTTTAATATGAATAGGCTCAAATGTTTTCTAGAGATATGAAGTATAAATGATTTTCTTTTTCAAAATAAGTGATTCAAAGGGACCAAGAAATGGAGGCAGAGGAGAGGGGGATGTGAAAGGAACTAAGATGTGCTGTGTACTGGTACCAACTCCCTATCATGAACATAATCATTATACATTGCAAATATGTACTCATAAAAACAAAAATTAAAAAAATTTTTAAAAAATGATGCATGTGAAAAATCTTGTGGACTTGTAACTCAAAGGCAGCAAATCAGTAATGAAACTCTCGGTCACTTTCTTGTGACTGGGACACGATACTCAACACCCACAACTTGGAGGAGGAGAGGTTTAGTTTAGCTCAGTTTCAGTCCATGGTTGCTCAAGGGGTATGGCGGATAAAACGCTGCTCTGGTCCTGGTGGCCAGGAATCAGAGTCCAGGTCATACTCAGTGATCAGACCCTAACCACATCCTTTCCTTTTTTTTTTTGGTCTTTTTGAGACAAGGTCTCGCTATGCAGTTCAGGCTGGCCTTGGGCTCACTTTGTAGCTCAGGTTGGTCTAAAATTTGCAATGATCTGCCTGCCTCAGCCTCCCTAGTGTCTGGGATTACAGGAGTGCGCCACCATGCCCGGCTACCACGTCCCTTTCTAACAGCATATTTAGCTGCTAAACTCATGAGTAGCTAAATCCCCTGCTGAGGACAGTGCACTCGTGACCCAATCATCTTCCAAAAGCCCTGTGCATGTGAGTGTTTAGGAGCACTTTCTGGATCTAAAACATAACATTGTGCTTTTCCTTCTTATCATCTCCTAAAGTGAGCTGCACATTTGGATGAGATACAGAGAAGGCCGGGCATGGTGGCAAACACCTGTAATCACAGCACTCAGAAGGCTGAGGCAGGAGGAGGAGGAGAAGCCAGCCTGGGCTACATGGTGAGACTCTGTCTCAAAATAAAAACAAACAAACAAAAACAGGCCTTGTAATTTAGCCAAATGCAACTGCCTGAAAGAGATGTAGCCTGTTCTCTTACAACAAATTAAGAAATGTAAGAGAGACGCTTGCTTCAGTTTGAATCAAACCTCACATAATAAACTGTTGTAATTCTATGTTGTTTTAGTGCCTTCAGTGATCACTCACCCTTGTAGAGGAAAGGAGTCTGTAGGCAGAGAGAAAATAAGACAAGGGCGTCATTCATTTTTCTAGATAACTCTGATTAGAAGGGGTTACAACTTTACTAGAGTTGGGCATGGTGGTGCACGCCTGAAATTCCAACACTCGGGAGGCTGCGTCAGGAGAATCAATGTGAGTTCAGAGGCCAGCCTGGGCTACAAAGTGAGTTCAAAGCCAGGCTAAACTACATAGAGAGGCCCTTTCTCATAAAGCCAACCAACCAACCAACCAACAACAATAACAGCAACAACAACAACAATTTTACTAGAGAAATTCCCCTGGGAACAATGTCAAGGACAGAGACAGAGAAGGAGAAAAACCAGATAAAGAAAGACACCAAAAGCTTTGGAACTTGCACCAAAAGACCAGAGAAGGAGCTCACAGAGAGTGGAGAGAGCGCCAAGAAGCCAAGCTGAGACAGCCATTCCTCCCCATCTCCAAAATAAGGCAGGGGAAGCAGAGGCGTGGAGCGGGGCGGACTTTGGAGAAAATTCTTGTTCAGTACCCACTCACACATCCACCTCTATATTCATTCTGGGTCACAGTGTGATCTTCTCTAGGCTGTGTTACTACAACCAATATCCACACACCCATACTGACTCTATGCTAACCCTGAATAATGTGCCTCCTTGCCAACCTGCTGTCCACCCCAGACAGAAGGCCGTGCCAAGGAGAGATAGACAGAAAGATGTTATTCAACTAGACCACCGAGAAATGACACGGGCAGGGGGGCCTGGTCTAGTCCAAAGACAGCCCAGTTAGGGCAAGTTCTAGGTAGGGGAGACTCTGACCCTGGAAGAGACGCCAGGAACAAAAGGTCCATGACAGGTCTTGAATCTTTCCAGAGCGCCCTACCCTGATTTGTATCAGGTTAGCTATCTAGCTTCTCCTTTATCCTCCTTTCCAACAAAGTCTCTTCCTCTCCAAATTTTGTATCTTTAATTTGTTATCAGTACTGAGTTTAAGATACAGGTGAGCTGCTAACTTGAACAGGGAAGTGATTTCCTGGTGACCACCTCCCTGTGGGACAGCGTATACACCTACTTGGTTTGCTCCAGTGACCCTGCACGCCTCAGGAGCCGTGGAGACACCATACCAACTTCCTGTCACACAAGCCCAGCTCCATGGAGCTTGCGCCTGCTTGTTCTAAAGCTATCCATTAGGCCTGTCTGTGGACACGTGTGTGGGTGATGCCCTGGAAGTCTGGCTCTCAGCTCCCTCATTCTCTCTCTGGTTCCTTGGCTCCTGGCTAAGCGTCTATTATGCAGAGGCCTCCATCCTTTCTGTTAGCCCTGGCAGGCAAGCTGCCCTGTTCTCTAAGATCTGCCAGTAACACTGCCCTCATCTGTAAGCTTGTTGTCCTGTGCCTACTGACTGAGAACAGCTTTCCTCCTGGACAGATCCGCCAGGCACTTTGTCAGTACAACTGAGTTTCTCATGAGAGGGACACCGGGCAAGGCCAGCAAGCTGGTCAGCAAGGTAAGGGAGTATTATGGGATAGTGCAGTGAACACCCACAGCCACCTCTTTACAGCCCTGCTAGGCTCTAGAAAGAGACTTCAGGGTCAAAATACATGCTGTCATAACAACTCCTTCCCAAAATCTGTGAAGATGGTTGTACGTAAGAGGTAAAAACTATTAATGCCACATGCTTGTGTATTATAGAAGTTAGAATAGGTCCACCGTTTTGTATTAAAAGTTGATTATTTTTTAACTCTTTCCAGTTACCTGCAGTTTGGTATAAATAAAATACTCTAGTTTTTCAAGTGACATATATTTGACTTATTTATAAAAAGTTTAAGCTCTATTCAGAATGGCTGTAACTTCTATCAATAAATATGCTATAAAGTTTATTATTGTGAGGGATTTAGCTCAGCACCCTAAGTGCCTGCCTGGCAAACATGAGGTTTTGAGTTTGATCCCTGGTACCAAAAAAAAAAAAAAAAAAAAAAAAAAAAAGTTTATTATTGTGAGTAGTACTTTTATATATATACATAAAACATTATCAGACTTCTAACTTCTAGATGGTTGGTGGCATGTCAGAGTTACATCTGTCAGCTTAATGGAGACAGAACTAACAGTGTGACTTTGGGTAAACTGTTTAATATCTTCCTCCTTTGTTTTCCCCGTACCAGGGATCGAGCTCACGACCTCACACTTGCCAGGCAAGTACTTACGTCACCTAGCTAAATCCCCAGCTCCAGTTTATCATCTTGTGAATTGTCTTATCTGCAAAGATGGCGCTAACGCCACTTTTTTTCACAAGGGCATTTGAGTGCTTGGCATATGGTAGACTTTCAGTGTATTATATTTTTCTTGTTTATTTCATTTCATTGTATTCCCAAGGGGTAACATTTTCTGATGGCTTCAACAGTCCTAAAAATCTTGTAACAGAACAGTACGTTTCTTGGGAAGCAAAAAAGAAATTAAACTTACCAAATGAATGTAGGGTGCATCATCATTTTATGTAGCAGTGTTTTTAAAATATACACCAAATAGGGTGACCGCAATTCAATGTTTAAAGAGGTATCTACACAGCACTGATTCCACAAGAATCTAACAACAGTCTCATTTCAGGTAGAAATGATAACTGTAGCAAATGTTGATTATTGTTGAAATCTGCCCTTTAAGAGAAAAAAAGCTACAATGGCTTTGGGTGTATTTGAAATAGTAAAAAACTGTACCAACCTAGTGAAGAGACATCAGCAATGACGAAGTACCCTCCATCAGGAGCTATGGGTTTCAGGCCAACACTTTCAAGTAAACGAACTATCCGATCTCTCTTTACTTCCAGTTCTTTTGGCAGAGAATTAAAGTAACACTCTGGGTCATTCATTCGCTTGATGTCAACCCAGAGAGCTTGAGCCAAGGCTTCCTGTACATTAAGATTGAAATGTGGGAAGGAAACATAGTAATATTAGTCATTACTCAGTTTACTGGTATAACAAATAAAGATCATCTGAGTAGAATTTTTGGCACAAAGGTCACTCAAGCACCTATATTAAACTCCTCGGGTTAAAGGAGGAACCAGTTCCACGCAAATGATCAAATCTAGTGTGATGAGCTGGAAATGAGTCATGAAAATCTAAATTTAAAAGAGGGATTATATAAAGATGACTTACCTGGTTACAAAGAGACACTAAATTGGTTTTTACTGAGGTGACCTGAGAAAGACTTGCAGAAGCTATGTGTAGAAACTGACCAGGGAAATCACAGCGTGGTCAGTCTTCCCATCACCTGCATGGACAGAGTGGGAATGCACCTCCCTCCCTTGCCTGAGGGTGCAGACCCTTGCTATCCTGGGACAGCATTCATATCCTAGGAAGGTGGTCTAAGAGAAATGGGATTAGGAACAAGCTTCTAGAGTGTGCAGGTGACTCCTCTACCACCCTTCAGGCAAGTCGGGAGAGAAATCAGGTCAAGGAAAAAGTCAGTGTCACTAAGTGCAGTGGACCTAAGGTGTGTATCCCGCAAGTCTATATGTTGAAATCCTAGCTTCTATGGTAATGGTAGTAGGAAGCGTGGCATTTGGGAGGCAACTAGGTCAGAATAGATCACCCAGGAACAATATTAACACTCTTAGAAAAGAGAGGTACACCCCTAAAATACCAGAAGATTGGAGGCTGAGGCAGGAAGATCTCTACAAGTTTGAGGTTACCCTGGGCTACGCAGTGAGTTCAAGGCCATCCTGTACTACATGGTGAGACTTTGTCTCAAACAAAACAAAACTCAGAATAGTGACCTTCCAAGATGTCCATATCTTGAAATTCAAAATATGTAAACACATTAGCTTGCATGGTAAAACTTTGCAGAAGTGATTTAAAGACCTTGATTTTATTAGTCAGTGGGCCCAATATAATTACAGAGGTCTGTGGAAGGGAAAAAAGGGAAATAGCTGACTTAAGAGTTAGTAAAAGGAGCTATGTTTAGGAAGAAGAGGTTGGAATGATGTGACAATGAACCAAGGGATATTGGAAACCTTGAGCAGCAAGAAAAGGCAAGGAGCCTCAGGAAATAGTGCAAAGGTCCTCTAGACCCATTCTGTACTTGTGACATGCAGCTCTGTAAGGTAAGTCTGTGTTGCTTTAAGATTTGTGGCAATCTGTTACAGCAGCACTAGGAAACTAATACAGTCATAATATTTCAATACATGGAAGGATCATGCTTTAATCAATCAATTGCCTATAGGTGGAAAACAGACCAGACACAATAGTCTGCAAAAATTAGCTACATCATAAGTAACTTACATGTGTATACATCAAAATAAAACAAAATTCTAGATACCAGTGAATACGTGTCTGCTCCTAAATCCCATTGCTTTAGAAGGCCTTTATCAAGAAAGTCTCGGAGGGGGGAACAAAGTTCAAATATGTGATGTAACAACAAATCACACTCCCATCCCAAGTCACTAGATCACCTACCTGTAAAGGAGTTGCACAAGTATAAACTGTGTTCTGCTGCACGATCTGTATAGGTCTTATCAAATGGTTAGGACCAATGGTCCAGCCAAGCTGGGAAAAGAAGAGATAAAAACACGTTTAAAAAATGATCTAATAGTATATCAGTGTCAGAGCTGAGGGAGTAGTTAAAATAATTGTTAAATATAGGCAGTTCAGAAAGGTTCACACAATGAAAGCAATGTTAGTGTTAGAAGCATTTCAATGTTTTCTCTTTTGTGGAAAAGTGGAATCACTAACTTTGCCTTTATCACTAAGGCTCTATCTCTGCTTTTCTTTTCTTTTTGGAGACAGGGTCTCACCATGTAGTGTAGGCTGGTCTTAAACTCACTTATGTAGTCCAAGCTTGCCTCAAACTTGCAGTGATCCTCCTGCCTCAGCCTCTCAAGTACTGGGATTACAGCTATGTGCCACTATATCTGGCTAACCTTTTTTTATTTTTAATGAAATAATTAAATCTCAAACAAGAAGAAGCTCAATACAAAACCTGTGTAAGTCAATAATTAAGAGCTAAAGATCTGTGTAAACTAAGTATATATATGTACTTATTTTTATCTATCTGTATTCATCTAGCTTTTGAGACAATCTCTTTACGTAGTCCAGGCTGGCCTTGGACCTGTAATCCTTTGGCTGCAGCCTCCCAAGTGCTGAGTCTATATGCATTTAAAACACAAAACATTTTACAAAACCAAAAAAAACCCTCCCTATTTTTAAGCAACTTTTTCTTCTTGTTGGGCAAGGAGAGTGCTGGAGCTTGAACCCAGGGCCTCACATGCTAAGCCCAAACCTTCCTCCTGAGCTGCACCCCGGCTGCAGCGAGCTCCGGTTTCTCTCACCTTCCAGCCAGTCACACTGAATGTCTTCCCCGCGCTTCCTATGGTTACTGTTCGCTCCCACATACCTGGAAAAGTGGCTGAAAAGCGGGGAAAAGCTTAGGTACGTGTTTTCCAATCAATTTATATTTAGCATATTCTAAAAACATAACAAAGGTACATGAATACAATGAAAATAAGTATATTAATTATAGAACAGTTAGTATGAATATTCCAACAGTTCCCCAAGGCCTTCATCCATACTCAGAGTTATACTCAGCTTTTATTCTTTTTTTTTTTTTTAATTTTGAGACAGGGTCTAAGTTCCCCAGGCTGGGTTCAAAATTACAATTTTCCTATCTCAGCTTCCCAGAATGCTGAGATTACAGATGCATGCTATGACACCCGGCTTAAACAGGTTTTCTAAAACAGTATGTTAGATCCAGTTAGCTGGACACATTGCACTGTTTTAGAACACTGCCATGCTTTACCAAGATAGTATACAAATAGACTTCATAATTCTAAGTGAAAAAATTGTCTCAAAGGGTAGGAGTGGCAGTGGTATCAACAGGCAGCATTCCGGGCCAGTTTCGGAGGTGGAGTCACTTGCTGTGGCTCCCAGCGTTCAGTGCTGCAGTGACTGTACTCAGACATACTGCTCCTGTGGCATGGCTTCAGGTGGTGTGAAGCACCTACTCCTTTACTCTGCCTGGTTTGTGATATTTCTACAGGCTTCCATTTCAGATCAAAGGTTTTTTAAGGTCAGCAAGATCAGCAACCCCTTGGAACGCATTAAGAAAGGGAGGTAGTTGAGACTTATTTTGGACCTACTGAATCAGAAGCTCTGGTGTGAGGCCTACTAATTGATAGAGACATATATATGTTGTGTATTTTGCTTACAACTTTGTTGAGATACAAATCTCAAATCATGTAGTTTACCCACTGAAAGTGTACGAGGTGGTAGTTTTAAGGACATCCACAGAATTTTAAAAGGACCTTTCAGCTTCATCTCCTAATAACCCCCAGAAGCTGTAGCTGAATGAAGCTGCAACATAGACACACTATCCAAGCACACGAGGTCACCTTCCTGTGCTCAGGAGCATATGCGTGCTTCAGCACAGGGCTTAGGGCTTTCCAAATGGCTGAGTCACCACAAATCACAGCTTTGGAGCCAGAGCTAAAGAAGTGGAGAGTCCCCCTGTCCAGCCTCAATTGGGATGCATGTGTAGGGTAAGTCAGTTTTTGCTCCTCTTTGAGGTACCATGAATATTGATTATAAGGTTATAGATATATTTTAGGGTCTGAGGAATTTGCAAATGTAGAATTTCTAAGCAATGAGAATCAACTCTATAAAGGTCATTAAGCCAGTTACTAGCTTTAAAAGTCCTTCATTTTATTCATTCACTCATGTGTCAAATACTTTTTAACAACTACTAGGGGCCAGAAAGTAAGGTAGCTCAAGAAGAAATAGTTTTTGTCTTCAAAGAACTTAACTCTAGTCCAGGGATGAGACACTGGGACTGTATCCCAGTGTGATGAGTGCCAAGGAGGTGCAGGCATGGACTTTGGAAGGATGGAAGAGGGTACTGCAGACAGCTTCCTGTGGCCTGAAGCTGGGCCGAGATAAGGAAGACCTTTCAGCCTCAGACAGGCAGACAAGGGAGGGAAGGGTGTCTCCGCTCAGGGAATGGAGGTGACAAAGGTAAGGAGATGTGAAACTCAAGTGCTTGTGAATTTTGATGGACATTGGTGAATGAATCAGGCATGGTGGCACATGCCTGTAATCCCAGCACGTGGGAGGCTGAGCCAAGAGGACTGTGAGATGTGAGAACTGCCATGAGGTCGAGCCCAGCCTAGGCTCCACAGTGAATTCAAGGACAGCCTGGAAGGCAGAGTAAGACCCCATCTGAAACAGCACATGATGGGCCTGTGAATCTGCTGAGGATGCCGCTGTAACACGGAGGGCTGGATTCTTCAGGTAATTTAGCTGCTAGTGTCGTAACATGCAACCTCGTAAACCTCTTAAGTTTTACCACTTGTTTTTTAGAAGTGCAATAGGGACTTTCACATTGTTTTAAGAGTGCTGGCACACACAAAGGGAAAATAAATATCCATTTCTGGGGGCCTGAGATCTGATGTTTCAGAGTAATCTGCTCATAAGCAAGTGTCTTCTTACTGAAATGAAAGGCAGCTAAGGAAGTTTCAAAAAATGATACATAAGTAATTTTAATCTGTTGTGAAATATATCAATATTTTAATGGTAGGAAAACTATATAAACAATAAAAGTTATAAATATGGTCTTTGTGGAATATAAAAAACCAAACAGGTAAATAAGGCAAATATTTAGAAGGTCTGTTTGAAAAAGGAATATTCTAATATTTGATGTAACTATATCCCCTGAGATGTTTTTTTTCTTTCCAAAGTATTCCGGAAGACAAACATGACACACACCCTACTCTTATTTTACCAGAGGGAAGTCTAACAGACGACAGTCTGTATAATGCAGACTGTCACTTCTTAGTGTAATAATGTACAAGTACCTCTGAAATCAGGAAGGCCTATGAAGAAAAACAATACCTAGAAAAATTCTTTGAAATAAGATTTATCCAGAGAGATTAATAGAATTCTTACATTTTCACTATAATTCTATGTAAAACAAATCAAAACTATCCACTTTAATATCAAACTATCAAATCTAGTCATAGTATTTTAAAAATGAGTTATTTTATTAATGACTATTTTAGCTACAGAAAAGTGGATTTCTTCCCCACTCCCTAAGGAGGTAACCTGATCAGTTGAAGAGCTTACAAGAAATTTTTAATTAATTTTTATATTCATATAAGTTAGGGCAGGGGTGAGTAGAATTTTGTTGATTGAAATGTCATTTTATTGACCAGGAAATATCATTTGCATCAAGAATCTGAACCAAAAAGAACAAACCCTACCATTTTATAAAAAGAGAAACTTAAGTAATATTAAAATATCCAGAAGCTTGTGTCCCCTCTACCTTGGAAGATTTGGGGGCACAGAAGTCTATGCAGATACAGGCAAAAGAATGAATGAATGCAGAGAATGTGGCAGATGAATGTGGTAGTAAAAAGATAAAACAAAACAAACAAAAAAATCATCAAACAAAAAACTCCAAAACTTTTCAGGTCTGATTTTTTTTTTTTCCTGATACTGAGAATCAAACTCAGGACCTTGTACTTGTCAGGTGGGCACTTATACCTCTGAGCTACACTCCTGGCCCCAGGTTTGATGATTTTAGAAAAGTGAATTATACTTTAAATTTAGGTTGAGGTTCCATCTGAAAGGCAGCTAGTCTTTGCTCTTCCAATCAACTACAAATAATGCTTAATTTAGCCAAAGCAGCTCTGTTATTCATAGATGATTCAGACTTTAACAGAAGTCAGATAAAGATTAGGGACACCATGAAAGAGCTGCACTGCCTCTAGGGCAACAGGACAATGATGCTCACATCATGATGTGTAGCTAAAATAAAATGCCTCACTGTGTTATATGAGAAGTAACTATAGCACTTTGCACACTGATGTGAGAGCTATTTTGTATTTTTCATGAATAGACTTCAACACTAAATAGAATATGTTTGGTAGAATCAAATTGTGCTTTCTAAATAGTGAACCCATTCTGTTCTTTTTTAACTATATGGCTTCATAACTTAAAAAAGATCTGAGTTTAAAGATGTATCTTGACTATCTTTAGCAAATAGTAAGGTTACACTTCACCCTGGTAAATTTCCAATCCATAAGTCTAAAGAATAAATTTCCAGATTATTTCACCTGGTCATTAATACTGTTAAATTCAGTTAACAAACAAAATGAAACAATTCATTGTGCACACTGGACTGACTTTTCCACTGGGAAATATAGTCCAGATGGTCTGAGACCCAAGGAATCAACAAGATGAGCAACAGAGGACTCTGATGTAGTATGTAGGCAGAATATTCTCCTAGAGAATATTTACTCTTTACTATGGCCTAGTTTGCACAAAAATTTTCATTGCCAAAAATATATGCCTTGATAACCTGTTCCTGATCATTAGGGCTGCTAAGTCTGCATACCCCTAGCTTCCTCCTCCTTGATGGCCAGGGGATGCTCCAACTTAGGAAGCCTTTATACCAAGAGAAGTAGGAGTGGCTTTGGCTGAATTCCCGCCCACAGATCTACTGCTCCTTTCCCCACTGCCCCTGGGTAAGACTTTCATCACAGCCAAGCAATCCACAGGTCCCACGATCAGACTTGCCTGGCTCCCTCCCAGCTTCAGATGCTGTGCTAGATGCCCTGTAGCTCCCAATTCTAATGCGTTCCACCTATCAGTTCCCCTGCCAGGGCACACGGCACCTGCACCTGGTGCTCTCGCTCGCTCGCACTCTGTCTCTCTGTCTCTATGTCTCTCTGTCTCTATGTCTCTATGTATCTATCTATCTATCTATCTATCTATCATCATGGAAACAATTATCCTGCCTTGCTTGTTTGTAGTAGTTCCGAAAGTGTAATCACTGGCACTCAGCAATCAAATTTATATATGAAGTTTTTAAAAAAATGAATTTTAAGTTTTTTTCCCCACAATTTTCTGAAGCCTCTGGCAATTGCTGCCACTTATCTGACAGTAAATGCTACACACTGTGAAACAAATGACTTAGGATTAAATGAATATTACTAGAAATCAGAGAAATTCAAACGTGTTTCTTTCAATCACTGTTTGTTACAGACAAGTATAAATAGAATTATGATTTTTATCTTTTTTTTGGTACTGGGTATCAAATTCACAACCATGCGCTTGCAAGGCAGGCGCTTATGTTGCAGAGCTAAATCCCCAGCCCCAGAATTATGATTTTCACACTGATTTTGAACTTTCAGATTTCTCAAGGAAAAAACTCTTTCTAACTTTGGGTCAGAACTGCTTCTACTTTCATTCCGTCACTATTTTATGATGAAGAATATTGTGACTTCCAGATGCCCTACTCGGTAAGTTTCAGAACCCCTGAGTACTGCAAAAAAGTGTATATCCTTTGTTCTCACACAGAGTCCTTTAGGGTCACCCTACTTTCTCATCCTCATTGGTACCAGTTACCCCAACACACTCATAAATCGAACCACTTACCTTTCTCAGGTATCTCCTGACCATGCACACCTCTATGTCTAAGTATATACTAGCTTTTCTGATAGACATGTTGCTTGCTTTTCTCTTCCTATTATTCCATCTTTTGTCCACTGTATTTCTGATCCCCTCAACTACCTGTTATCTCCTCCTACAGCTACAGACACTTTGTAATGCGCTACAAGGACAATTATGGTTCATGCACTAAGTTTTATCTATCTCTGCCACATCCTTTACCATCCTTCCCTGTCTATTTTGTATTTCTAATTTTATTCTGTGTACCAGGGATTGAATTCATGACCTCATGCTTGCCAGGCAGGCGCGTATGCCCCAGAGCTATATTCCTGGCATTCATATTTCTAATTTATTCAACTAGTTTTCTGACTCTGTTCTGGAAAATGGGTTTCAGAGGAGGTCAGCAAAAAACAATCTTTATTTTTCGCAGTTTAAAAGTGAAATGCTTAGATTCTGATAGTTACTATAAATGGAAAAGCAAGATAGACCAGAAAAAAAGACCAAGCAGGTGCTGGAGGAAGAGGTATAAGTATCTGAAATATGATGCTCATTAAAAGTGACACAGCAGCAAGATCTAAATGAGGTAAAGATCCAGGCCAGGTGGGTACTTGGGAAAAAAGTCTCTAGACAATGGAACGACAGGTGCAAAGACTCAAAGTTTCCAGCCCAGCTTATAATTCTCCTAGTCAATACAAATTCAAGCTACTCCAGAAGATGTGGGCATTTGACACTAGGAATGGCAAAATTCCGGACAAGGACTGAGTGGCAGGAGCTTATTGTCCCTGTCATCTTTTCCCGTTGCCTTGCATTTGAGCAATCTGCTCAGCACAGACAGTCCAGGATCTCTTCAGGAACAATTTGGCTCCCTGTATTATAGGTATCCAGGGAAAGCAGAATTCTTACTGAGGTCAAGGAGACCTCAGTAAGTAGAATCTCCCTGGCTTCACAGTTTCAGAGAGTGAGCTGAAATCTCTCTCCCTAAGTCTGCACTGTTTGTCTTTCAAGCTGTTCATGAATCCCAACACAAGCATTATTCATTGAAATATTACTCTTACAGGCTCACACACACATGGATAACAAAGACCACTTAAAAGCTGATTTGGTTTCCCTTCTAATCAGTTGTTCCAATGTGCACAGATACACTTACATTTGTGAGCCTATGTAATAATCAGTACCTATTTTAAAATGCTTATTTCCGGTGTACACAAGCCACTCATAAACCTCGTCGCTGATACAGAGTACGTCATATTTGATGCAAAGGTCAGCAATGAGTTGGAGTTCTTCTTTCGTATACACCTACACAGATTGAAAGAAAGAACACAGCTGACTATTACTCAGAACATGAGCCGACAACAGGTCACAGCCTGCGTACAGAGAGAGACTCACTTACCTTGCCAAGGGGGTTGTGTGGAGTATTCAGTATGATGGCTTTGGTTTTAGAATTAAATTTGCTTTCGAGTTCTTGCGGATCTAATATCCAGTCAGAACTGGACCATTTTTTTCCAGCAACATATTTCTAAGCATGAAAAATGAAGATGGAATTTAAAGGAATTAATTCATATCTGTTAGCTTACAAATAAACAAATTAACAAGGGGGAAAAAATCCAAAACAAAAGAAAGACACAGCAAGGGTCACGGAATAAATGACATGCGTACAGTGATGACCTAAGTGCTAGGCTCACATCTGTTAATATTTTCACAAATTCTAACAGCATACGAATTGACGGACAAACTTACGGGTCTCAGGGGGATAAAAACAGGTGTTGCTCCAGCCATTCGCACCATGGGCTCATAGCAGTCGTAGTAAGGCACCATTATTATGACCTGAAATAAAGCAACCAAGAACACAGCACATCAGCATTAATTCACTTCACAAATACTGGGCACTTCCTAGGTACAAGGAGGTCTCCAGGTTGAGATGCCACAGTGAGAAATCAGTTCTTGTTTTCATGGAACTGTCTGAATTCTTGGGCTTTTGTAGATCTGTGGATGGACCGTAGTAGATCTGCTTGAAATGGTAAAATTTTACATGTGCACAGGAAGATTTATTTTGGGAAAGAGAAAAGAGACATTTAACCAAAATCATAACTTATTTTTATCCAAAGTTAGAAAGTAGGATGTACACTATATGATGTTTTAGACGGTGACAGGAGCAGGACTGTACGGAAAGAGACTGGAGCAGCCTCTGGCATGGGGTCCTAATTAACAAGCATTATCCTGAGAGTGAAGATGATTCTCCTCGGAGCATTCTGTAGCAAAGAGTAAATGCAGGAAGACAGTCCAGGAGACCTTTGTTCTTGTCTGATACCCACGGTTGCCTTCCAGGTGCCCTGTATATCCACAATTGCCTTCCAGGTGCCCCGTATCTGGAGTCTGTGTTATCCTAGTCTTCTGGATGCACAGCTTGTTTCACGCTCTCCCCAGGGCCTACTGGTGGCCTTTGAGGTGAGGGCCAGGCACTATCTCACTCCTAGCCCTCATACAGTATCCCTGACTTGGCTTTCCTATAGGGTAAGTTACAATACATAATTTATAGCCATCGTATACACTCAATGTTTATTTCTAACTTTTCAATTTTTTAAAATTTAAATTTAAATTTTTCATTACCAAGAGGACCTCGTGCTTGCCAGGAAGGCGCTCTTTCTACCTTTCTATTTTTTTACTTTTGGTACTAGGGATCAAACTCATGACCCCTTGCTTGTCAGGCAGACACTATACTGCTGAGCTAAATCCCTGGCCCACCAACCTTTTTAAAACCCACCAGTATTACCTAAAGTTTCCATGCTACTATACTTTTTGTATTTACTATTTTAATGATCACATGAGAGTCTACTGAATTTTAGAATACTTTCTTTATACTGTGTTCGTATTTATGCGTGAACATGTAGTTCTCTATTTTTAAAATAATTTGTTAAATAAAGTCACATGAATGCTATATATAAATTATAGAATATAAGCATAGGGTTTCACTATGAAGTTCAGGCAAACTAGTGTATCTAATCTTTTTTATTTTTATTTTTTAGCGGTACCAGGGATCAAACTCACGACCGCGCTCTCACAAGGCAGGTGCTTATGCCACTGAGCTAAATCCTAGCCCCGAAATTCAGGCAAACTTGAACTCACTATCTAGCCCAGGTTGGCCTTGGACTTGGGCAATCTTTCTGCCTCAGCCTCCCAAGTGCCAGGGTTACAGGTGTGTACCATCATGCCCTGAGGTTGGATCAAATTACTAGTAAACAATTGCTGCTTTAAGTGTCACTTGCTACTGTTTGTGTTTCTTATGAGAGAAATAGCTGGTCAGGGCCTTCCTCATGGAAGGGATTTATCGTAAAAGTCCCTCTGTACCCATCATTCAGCTCAGACAGAGGCTACAAGTACAATCGGACAAGCTTGGAATCACCAACTGTGGGGGGCAAAGCAATGAAAAGGGACTGGGTCCTCACTTCAAGTAGACTGGAAGGTCTTCATCTATGAGGCTCTGAGGGACTCAGAGCACCTACCTGTGTCACTTGGTGGAGACACAGGACCCAAAATAAAGTGAGAGCGCTGTCCAGGAAAATAACCCAGGGAGCCGTTGCAGTACAGCGGAAAGAACCCAGCTGATGCCCTTTACTTTAAATCCTTGACTTTTGGGGTAGAAATAATTTCCCACTTTTTTTTGATACTAGGAATTGAACTCAGGACCTTGTACTTGCCAGGCAGAGGCTGTGCAGCGGAGCTATATCCTGGCTCCTCCAGTCTTTTTTGATGAGTGATTTTTGAGCACTTGTTATTTTAGATGCTGGACTAAATAAGTTCTCAACTGAGGGTGGTGGTGCACACCTATAATCCAGCACTCTGGGAGGCTGAGGTAGGATGATAGCAGATCCAAGCTCATAGCACCTGGGTCCTCAACACCTTAGCAACAACTATCTCAAAATAAAAAAGGCCTAGGGATATAGCTCAGTGTGAAGACCCTGGGTTCAATTTCCAGTACCACTCTGCCAATGACCAGCCTCCAAAACCAAAGCATTTATATATTAGAGATTTGTGATGAATAAGAAAACGAGTCAGTAAATTAGGTAACTTCAGATAGTAATGTGCTATGAAGAAAATAAAATGGGACTATATAAAAGAAATGACCTGTATGCATTTTCACAGTATTACGGTGCTCGGAGAAGAAAGACTAGAGAAAAGAAGGCAAGGCAGGGGCTGAACATTGGGACATTTCAAGAGACTGCAGGGAGGAGGAGCGGCACAGGCTTAACAGGAAAATGCAAGGAAACTTTCAACTACCTTATAGGATGAAAAGAGATTATGTATATAAAAATGTGACTACAAGTCCTTCACATGTTTCCTAAAAAAAATACTTTTTGTCTAGTATGATAGAGGGAATGTAGATACAAAAGAGAGCATAAAGAAGGTGGTGGTAGCTTTTATAAAAATAACATGACAAAGAATTATGAGTTCAGAGTAAGTTACCAGTATAGCTCAAGATAATAGTTTCACTTCAGATGCAGCCTAAGCAATGCTTCTTTGCAAATCTGTCTCCTTTATTAGATAAGGAACCCTGTGCATGGAGAAACCATTTTTTAAACACCTCTCTAGGACTGCCTGGCATACCGGAGAACCTCAGTAAATTCTGGATAAATGAAGAGATCAGGAGATATTAAAGCAAGGGTCTCAGAAGGGGTGAATGAGTGAGGCAGGTGCCAGCGCTGGACCTGCATCCCAGGGCTGTATGGCAGAGATGGCTCGGCTTTCTAATTACATCTGTACTGCACATGTGACCCCGGCATGTAAAGACACAAAAAGACCAAACCCTTGCTGCTCGAGTTCAGATTAAAGCAATGAAGACAAAAGGTTCCTTTCCCTCAACCTTGTTAGCCTACTTCTACCTACCGTTACCCAAGTAGGCTACAAAAATAAGAATAAACTAATGCAGTAAAACGGGTGACACTAGGCAGTGTAATGAGAAATGACAGAAGCCACACCCAAGAGCGTACACTGTATGATTCTATTTATGTCAGATAAAAGGGCAGGGAGAACAAACCTGTGGTGATGGAAAACAGCGTAAGAGAGAGAGAGAGAGCACAGACTAAGAGGGGAAAGCAAAAGCAGCCTCTCCGGATGCCGGAAATGTAATTTATCTGGGTTATAGTTACATGGGGTTTTATTCAGCTGTATGTTTCAGATTTGTTAACTTTATGGTATATGCATCAAAATTTTTAATATACTTTGAAATAAAAAGAATACAAAATAAATAGAATAGTCACAGATGGGATGAGTGATGGGATTAACACAGACATTATAACACTGTTAACGTGCTTACTTCATCTCCTTCATCAACCAGTCCTTGAATGACATTATAAAGAGATCCATATGCTCCTACTGTCACAACGATTTCCTTATTTGGGTCGATTTTCTTTGGATAAAATTTTTCATACAAGCAGGACAGGGCTTTCACAAGTGATGGATGACCCTGTTGGATTAAAAAATAAGAAATAAACCAATTGAATTTGATTACAGAACCAGTTTCTTTGAGGTAGCTCTAAAATGTATGACTTTTAAAAATTTGTATTTCACACTGGTAATTATCCAATGGAAAAACTTTTTGGGTAAGTCCTTTTTATATTATCTAGGCTGGTATTCAGTTCTCAACCTTCCTGACTCATCCTCTCGAGTAATGAGATTACAGGTGTCTGTTACCATACTCAGCAGAAAACTTGTATTTTTAAATGGCACTCAATTAAATTATCAGTTATCAAATTGTTATAATTGTCAATTATGTTTTTCCTAACTTTCTATATGAAGTTATGAAGATTTGTTAATGATGAAAACTGACTTCGAAACAAGAGGTTCAAGAATACATAATTATAAAGTATTTGATTTTAATAGAAATGAACTTAACAGTATTTTTTTTTTAAGGTTTCCCTATGCAGTTCAGGCTGGCCTCGAACTCACTATGTAGCCCAGGTTGGCCTTGAACTCATGGTTATCCTTCTGCCTCAGCCTCCTGAGTGCTGGAATTACAGGTGAGTGCCGCTATGCCTGGCTTTATCTTTTGAGACACCTGTTGTTTTTATAGGTGCAGCACTAGTTTACATGACCATCAACAGCATCTGAGAGTTTTTTCTCTCCTCATCCTTGCCAGCATTTTTGCTTCTGTGATGATAGCCATTATGACTATAAGATGATTGCTTGTCGTGGTTTTGATTGGCATTTTTCTGATGACACGGAGCATTTCCCCATAAATATACATGTACTTGTTGGCCATTTCTTCTCCTTCGAAAGCCCAGTGTAGTGATGTGCACCTGTAATTCTAGCACTCAGGAAACTAGGAGGCAGGAGGATTGCCATGGGTTCAAGGCCAGCCTGGGCTACATAGCAAGAGTGTCTCAAAAGAAAAAAAAAGAAGAAACACCTGTTCGGTCCATTTGTCCATTTTTAAATTGGATTGTATTCTTTGTTGGTTACTTTCTTTCAGTACTAGATTGAAAAATCTAGTCCTAAATGTTTAGATATTCTTGTAAATGTTATTTTAAAAAAATTAGTTTCCAATTATTCATTGTGAGTACACACAAATACAACTGGTTCCTGTATATTGGTCTTGTGTCCTGCAACCTTGTGCAACTCATTCATTAGTTATATTAATTTTATAGAATCCCTTAGGATATATATATTTTTTGAGACAAAGTCTCACTACTTAGTCCAGGCTGGCCTTGAATTCATGGCAATTCTCCTGCCTCAGCCTCTCGAGTGCTGGGATGACAGCCGTGAGCCACCATGCCCAGAATGCCTTAGGATATTTTATGTACATGGTTATTTTCAGTACATGGGTTTCAGTTTTTCTCTTTCTAATCACATACCTTTCTTTCTTTAGGACTTCTAGACAATTTCAAATAACAATGGTGAGAGTGGACATCCAGTTTTTTATACTGTGTGGTATATAGTTATTATCTGTAGGTTTCTCATAGATTTCCTTTAACTGGTTGACAAAGTTCCATTCTACAGTATTCCTGAGTAGCTGAAAGCTTTTTATATGAGGGAGATGAGTAGGAGGGAGGGAAAGGGGATGAAAAAGGAATTAAGATATATTACATACATGTACTAACTTGCCACAAGGGATGTAATCATTGTGTACTGCACACATGTACTAATAAAAAAAGAGGAAATGGGGCAATGGTGGCTCACAGTGGTACTCCCAGCATTCAGGAGGCTGAGGCAGGAGGACTGCCTTGAGTTTAAGCCCGGACTAGGCTACATAGTAAGCTCAAGGTTAGACTGAACCACACAGTGAAACTCTGTCTCAAAAAGAAAAAAAAAGATGGATATATATATTTAAAGTGTATATTCTGTATGTGCTAAGGTGGTCATGTAGTTTTTCTTTTTTATTACATTAATATGCTGAATTGCAATCACAAGCTTTTGCACATTAAGCCTCATTACTGTGATAAGCCATACGTGGTCAGCATGTATTACTTTAACTCAAACTCACAAATATACATACATATACACATGCACATATATGCACACGCCTGAAACTGATTTGCTGAAATCTTTTTGTTCTTACATCCCTGAGGGGCACAGGACTGGATTATCTTTTTCTTTATCTTGTTTGTATCAGACTAATGCTAGCCTCATAAAATGCACTGGCAAACTTTTCATCCTGCTGTATTCTCTAAATGAACTTGTGTAGAATTGGTATTATTTATTCTTTAAGTGCTTAACAGGAAATTATTCATGACAGTGCTAATGCTATTTTAGTGTCTGTATGATCTGAGTTTCTTTTTCCATGACTCATGCTGTAATTTTTCCCATTTTTTATTGATAAATATAGCTTAAGTTTTACTGATTGACTGACTCAATGCACCAGATTCTGGTCCTATTTTCTCTGCTGTTAGTTCATTCCTGTGTTTTTATTGTGCACTTGAACACGGCTGGGAAGGAAATATAGGACAAGGTCTGAGACAAGGATCTGGGTATGAACTTTCATTTTTGGTGGTGCTGGGGACTGAACCCAGCACCGTGTACATTCTAGACATGTGTGCTACCACTGAGCCACCCTCCCAGCGCTGAGGTCGGGGTGTCTAGGTAGATCAAGGAGTGAGAGTCCATGGGAAGCAGGGATTCCCAACCTGTTAAACACTGGGATATGGTCAGTCTCAATGCTTTTCTGAGTTCCCTCATTCCCGGTGCCAAGGTCCCCTATGAATTTTTGCGCTTAGACCAGAGAGGCCAAAAAGAAGAAAAAAAAATAGGACTTCTTCCTTCCTTCCTTCTTTCCACTTGCCAGGCTATCACCAAAGGAAAGACTGACACCTAACCATGTGACAACTCCATGGCTTTCTGGAATAACAGACACAACTCTGCAGTTTAACAATGAGGCATTCATCCCAGAAGGAAGAAGGGAATGGAGGCGGAGAGAGAAGACAAAGGTGACTTGCTGGAAAGTGCACTGAGAGGAATGAGACAGAAAAGACACCCTCCAAGAGGCTCACTGCCTTCCTGGTTGCCCTGGGATCACATTCTGAACAACAGTAAAGTAAGGACGAAAACAGAACTGCTGATGGGTTGAAGGTGGTGAAAGGCTTGTCCTTGAGACAGGGCAGCGGGGAGAGTCCTGTGGTCATCAGGCTGCGACAGCTGACTCTACGGAAGTCACAGAAACACACATTCACACAACGCAGCAGGAACTCTAAAGCTCAAGCGCCTTATGTTCCTGATATACTTACGAAGCCCCGCGTGTACTGATTCAGGTTATCTACTAACGCAATCTTTGATAATTCTTCTTTTACGTATGTTGGAGGCGATATATCTGGAAGACCTTGGCCAAGATTCACCACAGAAGGATCTGCAGCCAACTTGGTAAATTCAGTCCTAAGGTTAGGGGGAAAAAAGCCATAAAACACCAAAAAACAAAACAAAACAAACCTCAAAAATATTGGTATTGATGAGTAGTATACTTACAAAGTTTGCTTTTTATGTCACATGGTCTTACCACAGACCTGAAAACTAGAAATAATTTGGCCTTACAAATTAAGAGTTCCCAATAAAAAGTTACACCACCTATGCCTGTGATTGTGAGTTCAAATCCAGGATGGGCAAGTAGACAATATCCTGTCTCAAAATAAAAAAGGGCCCGATGTAGCTTAGTGCAAAGGTTTGACTTCCATTACCGAAGAAAAAAATTAACACCATAAAGTAAATTTGTCAATATAATGATGGCTGAATTACTGAACCTAAGGCTCCTTACACATCTCAATTTCATGATACCCAAGTTTTAACCATAGATGGCTCCTCTACCCTTAACTATTTTCCACCTGCTGCTAAGTTCTCTTATCCACTGTTAGGGAGCAGGACCAATGAGAAATTCGCTCATGGATTATTCCAAGTTTTTTCCTCTGCCATGTGTCCGTTTGCAGCACAGAGCATGGCTGACCAGGGAAATTCATAAATCAGTGTATGGGCAGCTGCCTTCCTTCCACTATCATTTAATGGATAAATTAGATAAGTGGCTTTATTTTTGGACTAGAGATGATGCTAAAAATCCCCAACTAAGGAACTAAAACTATAGAGGAAGTTTACACCAAATTATTAGTGTTTTAAGAGACTCACCATACACTGCTGTCAAGTCCTTCGATGCGTTTTGCATTTTTCAATTTAGAAGACATTTTCTGAAAAACGTTAAGTATTGAAAAATTTTTAATAATTCTTTAATCAAAATTTGAAAGGCTTGTGAAGGTAACAACATATACCATGGTAGCTGCTGTTTTCCTAGTATCCTGCCTTTGAAGTTCTGTACCAATTTTGCTGCTTTGTTTTGCTTGGCTTTGTTCTGTTTTGTTTTGTTGGATTTTACTATCTTTAAATAATAAAAAACAAAACACAAAATATGAAAGGTCAGTAAGTCATGGGTCATTCTTCCCTTTCCTATCATCACTGTACAGGCATAAGAACCGCAGGGGCGAATTCTAGAGTCCAAAACAAAAATATGAGGAAGAGTCCCTCTCTCGGCAGCTGTTCAAAGGAATGATTTTTGTGCATGTTCTCCTCTAGTTTAAAGACAGTCATTTAAAAGGCTTGCAATGTACTAAGGTGAACAGGAATACTACTTTTAAAAAGCCAGTTTAAAAATATCTTGAGCTATGCTCTGAAGAAAGTAAAATATACTATGAGTTTCACAAAAAAGTTCCTCACATGGTATACAAGAACTCAACAAATGGTTTCTATGTTTATTTGTAAAAAAAAAAAAAAAATTTTTTTTTTGAGATAGGGTCTTTGCTATCAAGTTCAGGCTGGCCTTGAACTCACTAAGTAGCCCTAGACTGGCCTTGTGCTCTCAGCGATCCTCCTGTGTCAGCTTCCCAATTGCAGACATCACAGCTGTGCAGCACATGCCTGGTAACAAATGGTTTAAAAACTACTCACTAAGGGGTTTCAAGTAATAGTAGTTAATGAGACCCAGTAGTGGTTGTATACCAGGCACTGTTCCATGTGTTTCATATAATTTCCTTAGCTAATGTACATGATAATTCTGTTATTAGCCACTCAGATCTATGAACAAAAAGTGAGGCATAGGGAGGATTAAGACCATAGAACTTTTTGCATCTGCCCAAATTCATAAAAGTAGTAGCCTTCAAGCCAAACAGGTTTACCCAGGATTCAGATCCACCATCTGACTGCAAAACCCATACATGGAACTATGGTCATCTGCTCTCTTATAAAACAAGACTTTCTAAAAATATGACCAGAAAACTATCTCTTCAAAGTATATTTAGGTTGGGTCTATTCATACCAAGCAAGCTAAAGCTGTGGTAGAAAAATGTCAGAAGTTATAATTATCATGCGGCATACAACTTTAGTTCTTCAGGTTCTAAAATTAATTATGTCCTATCTCTCAAAAGTACTGAATTAGTTTTGAGTTCATTATTAACAGGCTGGTGGAAATAAGAAAAATGATTGATAGCATTTTTGCAAAAAAATTCATAATAGAATATTAAAGCAATTTTAATTCAATCTGGGAGGAAGATAATGATAATAGTTATTAAATCACCATTGTTCTCATCTATTCTCAATAATGGGACCAAAAAAAATAGCTTTTTAGTGTCCTCTATTTTTCATCTTTGAAACTCAGTGAAATAAATCACATATGTATTCTTTGGGGGTTAACGTGCCTTCTGGCATAGCATCACCATAATTCCCACCTGAACACGACACTATTCTAGAGATTAACAATTAAAAACTGACAGAGAAAGAGAGAAAAAGATTCCATTGACAAATGCTGCTTGCTATCTCTGAAACAATGCTGAGAGCTTTGTGATTTATTCAGTATGGACCACACACACAAAGTGCAGATTCAGGTGTTAAAACGCCAGCACCAGCCCGCTGCCCTGGAAAATTAGACGTTGAGTACAATTTTACTTAAAGCTCAGATGGTTAAGGTCACAGTGCAGTTTGAGACTTCCGTTCTTTAAGATGTGTACTCCAGGCAGCCTCTTCTGATTCTGCGGCCCATGCCTCTCCTTCCATCCCAGTTCCTTGTCTCAACCTCTCTACTTTTTCAGTCTTCGCTGCCCCCCACTCCTGTATGTGCTATTTTCTTCTGCCCAAATGGGTCTGTGCATTCCTCAGCCTCTTTCTCACCATTGCTCCTGTAAGGGGCATCTTCCCTACTTTTTTCCTAACTATCAAGGAAATAGGAAGGCACATACCTTTGTCAGATAGGTTTCAGGCAGGAACTTGGGCCACTGAGCTATAATCCCTGGCTGTCAGATCAGTTTAAGCTTCGAAAGGTCATAAAGTATCACAATAGTTAATATTTTGCTTGCCGAGCACCCATTTTCTCTGCCTTGGAGAGAGTTTAAACTCTGCCTTTAACAGAGTTTATGCCTCTGTTAAGAATGTGGTTTTTGCTTGTTTTTTTGAGACAAGGTTTCCCGGTGTAGTTCAGACCTCTAACTTGTGGTGAACCTCCTGCCTCGGCTTCCGGAGTGCTGGGATTACAGGCATGTGCCACCACACCCAGCTGAGAATCCCCTGGTCCTCACCGCCTTGTCCTTGCACTTGGCTAATGTGGGTCTCACCTGTCACCTTCAATTCTCGAGTTTGATGTCATTTCCTGCAATCTTCTCATTCCCCAAATCAAGGTCCTTCTATGTGGTCTCATTAAATGCAGCACTTTCTACGGTTTCATATAGAGCAAAAGCTTTTATTTCTATGTATCCTGAGCGTGTGAAAATAGCTTGTTTTATTGACACGAGTCACTAGTAGGGTTCTCCAGAGAAAGAGAACCAATGGGAGGAGAGATTTATTTTAAGGAACATTAATCTTATCTAAAAATCACCTTCACAGCAACTTCTAGACTGGTACGTCACTAAATATCAGGGTATGGCGGCCTGGCCAATACACCACAGTGCTCAAAATATCATTCTATGCCTAGCATATGGTGAACTTTCAATGAGTATCTGACAAACGAATTAATAAAAACCCCTCCTATTAGGAGGGAAGTTCTGATCGCATCCAATTTAACTCTGGTGCTTTTGTCAGTTCATGTTATTTTATCCTGCCGAAACCATGACACCAAAGTCCTGACAGTTTCAAATCACAAAGGCTTTGCTCATGCCACTGTCATTCTGAGACACAGGCTGACCGCAACTGCCTGTTTGGAATGCAGCCTATGCTAAGGAGAAGAGTTTCCGCTTGGATATACCCACATCATTTCTACTAATATTTTATTGGTGAAAGCAATTTCAAGTCTAAATCACGGGGTAGGCATGTATAACCATCTGGCAGGGAGGAGCAGCAAATAATTGTGAAGAGCAGCACAGAGAAACAAACACTGAATATATAATCAGACACGTGGTTGTTACGGGTTGAATTGTATCTCTTCAATTCCATACACTGATGTCCTAATTCCCAGTGCTTTGGAAGGCAGCCTTGTTTGGAAAGGGTATCGCTGGAGATGGAATAAGATGAAGTCACTAGGGTACCCAAAGCCATTAAAACTCGTTCCTTATCTGAAGGGGAAGTCTTGGCACAAGCACACACAGAGAACATTCCATGAAGGTAAAGGCAGACATTGGGGGGCTGGGGATTTAGCTCAGCGGCACAAGCGCCTGCCTTGCAAGCAGGCAGTTGTGAGTTCAATCCCTGGTACCGAAGGGGGAAAAAAAAGGGCAGATGCTTCTGCAAGCCAAGAAAGGCCTAGGATCGGCCGGGCATCACCTGGAAACAGGGCACAAGAAGCAGACAGTCTTCCTTGTAGCCCTCAGAAGGAAACGATTCTGCTTTTGCTTTGATTCCAGGATTTTAGTGTCCAGAACTGCCAGGTAATAAACGTTTGTTGTTTACGTCACTTAGTTTGTAATACTTTGTTAATGAAATCCAGGGAAAGGAATTCACTGCTGAAAGTTACAAGACACCTTACAAAGCCCAAAGAAGCCCAGATTTAGCAGCAGATATAAATATTCACTATATAAAAACTACTTCCCATCATAGACTCATCACAAGGAATAAAATGCCCCTGGAATTGGGCATTAGTCCCAGACATATAAAGAAATGTGTGTAAGGCTTGCATAACGTTTTGGAACCAGTTAACTCTAAAAAGTGACTTTTGCTATAGGTAGTAAGTCTGGCAAAGACATATAATGTTCTGTTGTAATATCTGCACACAACTGCAGTGAAATCCTAAGTGGCTTCATCTTTTAACTTGAAAAGGATGCAGTTCTAAAGATCCACCACAAGATGGCATGAATGACAAACAAGGTCGATCCTATTCCACCCTTAAAATGTTTGCACCAAAGGTGCTAGAACAAGTTTGGAAATATGAAAAATAAATACCAAGATTCTAAGGATCTAGCATGTCAAAATTTAAACTTCATCTTTTCTGTGTGTGTGTGTGTGTGTGTGTGTGTGTGTGTGTGTGTGTGTGTGTGTGTTTTGAGTCTTATATGCAGTTCAGGCTGGTCTTGAACTCACCCTGTAGCCCAGGCTGGCTTCTAACTTGCCATCACCCTCTTATCTTAGCCTCCAGACTGCTGAAATTACAGGTGTACACCACCTCTGCCAGCTAAATTATACCTATTTTAAGGAAGTTGTGTATAAGATTATTATTGTTAGGTGGGATAGGACAGATGTTGAAAAAGTTTTCCTAAATGGTGGGCTCAAGTTAGGGAAATCAAAGCTATTTATATTGGGGGCTGGGGATTTAGCTCAGCGGCATAAGCGCCTGCCTTGCAAGCAGGCAGTTGTGAGTTCGATCTCTGGTACCGATAAAAATGAAAAAGACAAAAAAAAAAAAAAAGCTATTTATATCTATATATTGTGACTATCAATCAAGTCTTTATCCAAAGAACAAGATCACAGCCAAAAAAGGTAATCGTAAGAACAAACAACAGGAAAGGGACAGAAATAGAATCAAGAAAACTACATACTGTGTGTGTATGTGTGTGTGTTGATGTTTCAATCACCACTGTAACAACAGTTAGTATTCTTTGATTCCTAAGCATTTTCTAATGTCTTTGTTTCAAAAGCAGATTTAGTTTTGAAAGAAACTTGGTCCTGCCTTCCTGACATCAGGAACTTGAACCTATAGAGTTTTTCTGCAGCTCCATTTCGACCACTCGGCCTGGTCGCTTTCCTTCACCTCACGTGTCTTAACATTCACATCTCCCTTGACATCCCATGTACTCAGTAAAAACAAAACAAAACAAAAAACCAAACAAACAAAAAAAAACATTCACATCTCCCACATCACCATCACACAGGATCTGAGAGTTGAACACTCAAAAATGTTAATGATAATTATCATTGCTGACATATTCAGTGAGCTTGAATACTTTTTAAGTTTTCTGTTGAGCCACAGCAGAGAAAATATTAAGAAATGCATCTTACAAAGGACTTTTATACAGAATATTTAACTTTTAAAATATAAATAACTTTGACAGCTCAGTAAAAAGATAATTCAATTTAAAATGGACATAAGATTTGACAGCCTCTTCCTAGATGACATAACTGGCTAAAAAAGCATATTAAAAGATGCTCAACATCATTAGTTATTGGGAAAATGAAATTGAAATCACAGAGAAATACTATGAGATACCCCTCTGAACAGCTGTAGAGAGCATGTCTAGGAGAGTATGGGCAAGCAAAATTCTATACAACTCTGATAGGAATGGAAAAATGGCATAAGTTCTTCAGAAAATGATTTGGCAGTCACTTAAAAAATTATGAGCCAGCAACAGCCATGCGGGCCAGGAGAACAAAGAAGCCAAGCTACACCCTTCTGTGAGCAGTTGGTGCTCAGACTGGGAGACAAAAAGAGCACCTCCCCCCTCACTCCCCAGCAATTCGATGATTTGGAGGACACATGCTGAGATGATAGCAAGTGAAGTAAAAAAACAACTTTTTTTTTTCTTTTTTTTGTCTTTTTTGTTTTTATCGGTACCAGGGATCAAACTCTCGACTGCCTGCTTGCAAGGCAGGCGCTTATGCCGCTGAGCTAAATCCCCAGCCCCCAGTAAAAAAACAACTTAACGCTTGAATTGTTTGATTGATTTTGTAGGTCTACAGCCAGTAGTCTAAGCATCTATTTAGAGGACAACAATATGCAATACAGCAACTATTGGAGATTTCCTACTATTTTGTTTTTCTGGTACTGAGGATTGAACTCATGACCTTCCGTTTACCAGGCAAGCACTTGAGCTAAACCCCCAGCCCTGTCTTGTTTTTGAAATCCAATATTGTTCTCACTGTTTTGTTCCGTTTTATTTCTTTAAAATAAATTTTAAAAAATTAAACATAAATTAACCACACAACTCAACCATTCCACTGTTCATATTTATCCAGACAATGAAACCCTATGTCTGTACAATGGCCTGTATCAAATGCTCATACCTGGACACAATCCAAAATTCTATTAACAGGTAAACAGAAAAACAATAAAGAGATAGTACTTTACAATAAAAGGAAAGGAACTACTGGTATACTACCATATGCATGAGTTTCTAAATCATTGTATGTGTAGAAAACATAAGGGTATATTACACGATCCCATTTATATAAATTACAAAAAAAAGGGACCCAAACTAATCTATAGCAATAAAGAATAAATTGGCAGAGTGAGGGATGGATTGTGTAGGAACACGAGGACTCTTTAGTGGAAAATGTTCTGTATTTGACTGTGGCAGAGATTTCATGGTCTACTTATGAGCTATATCACCGAGTTAAATTCTAAATGGATGTGGTTTATTAGACTTTGATAAAGATGATTTTAAAAGTTGTCAAGGTATTATGAAATCGTGCCTTTCTTCTTCTAATCAAAAAGGTGCTCAAGACACAGACATTAACAAGAATATCTCATGGATTTTAGATGTTTTCTAAGGTGTATCTACTAAAAAGCCAGATAATTTTTTTTTTTTTTTTGCCACTAGATGGCACAGGAAAATAACAGAATGTTCTAACAGTGGATGAACTGAGGGTAAAACTCAGGATTGGAAATGCACGATGGAGAAAGATGATTTGAATACATACAAGGAAAAAGTTAGTTATGATCAAACTCAGAGGAGTGCTTATTTCACTCAACTTTGAAGCCCCACATATTTAGTTGATTTATTTTGTAAGAACCATGCACTGGCTGTTGCCCAGCCTTAAAGAACTGATTGCAGCAGGCTGGAAGCTGTCTTGGAGCCATTTTGCAACTATTTGTAAATCAAAGGTAAACAGTCAGATAAGCTCTGGTTTTAGAGATTTGATTGACTTCCCTGCATCCTGTGGGGAAATCTGTTTTTGCTTTTATTTGCAAAATTCAATTCCTTCATTTCATCAATATTTGTACTTTCAGACTTTTTCTTCATCTTAATTTGTCAGGTTCCCTCATTGTAAAGAAATAAAAACCTTTAACACATGTTCATCTGTTCATGTTCATCATGACTCATATTTGTATGAGTCATGATCTAATCTTTTTCTGAAAATTACTTTCACAGTATCTTTAGAGAAACTTATAGGAAACAGATTTCTTCAAACCTCAGCTCTGATAGCATTGGTAATTGGAATAGCCAGGAAAAGTTAGGCAAACCAAGAACCAAATTTTTGATTTATTTACTTTAAAAATTGGATCCAAGGGTGGGGATTTAGCTCAGCGGCATAAGCGCCTGCCTTGCAAGCACGTGGTCATGAGTCAGATCCCCGGTACCGCTTAAAAAAAAAAAAAAAAAAGGATCCAAGTGAAGATGTTAGAATAGCAAGGACTGACCCTAAATACACTCCTGGGGTTTGGTCCTTTTGCCTGTCTCCACTGCAATCCCATGCCCTGGACATGCTCATTTGATGAGGGTCGGATACTAAGCAGGACAACTCCTAGAAATGCGGAACTGGGGCTGAGACCCACCTCAGTTTTCCTGGGTACATTGCCCGGAAGGATGGGAACGTGGCTCTGCGGAGGCCCAGACACTCCTCAGACACCTGAGCTCTGAGCCCTGTAAGATATGGCTAGAGTAAAAAAATCTCCAAGGTTCTTTAGAGCAGAGCTCTCAAATCGGATGGGTCGTACTTCCAAATTAAACACAGCAAACTAACAGAGTGTGACGCTGGCTGAACCTTGGACTTCTAAGTGGGCATCCTTGCGTGTTAAAAGGGGATGAATGCCTGAGTCACTTAAAGTGCTCTGGTTATGAAATGAGGCAAATGCAGAAATGGAAAAACACTTCTGGGCTCATAAGATAACCTAAGACCTGGTGTCCACCCTGGATGTAGCAAAGACTCCAGCAGATAGAAGTAAATGGACTTCACACCAAAGCAGCAAAGGAGGTGCTGGGTGAAGACTGAATCCACAGCAAGCGTTGTCTTTGTGTGAGACAGATGTTGCTTTTGTGCTTCTTTGGGAAGCATTTAGATTTTAGAAATTCCTTTTAAAAAAAGTGAGACTCTATTTTTAAAACACAGTTTTAGGTTTACAGCAAAACTGACCAGAAAATTACAGTGAGTAGCCACAAGCCCCTTCAGTGTCCACACACATCCCCCACAACGTGTCCCCCTCTGCCACACTCTTCTTCATTTAAGGGCCAATCATTCGGATTTGCAATGTTTAGCTCAGTTAGTTTTCTGCTCCTCTGTTAATATGCTCTTCTGTTAATAATCTATTCATTGCTTGTCCTCAAAACATTGGTCAAACCTCATTTGTCAAATCTTTCTTGCTTTCCCCCTTGTCCGTCTGTCTGCTTGACAATCAATCAACCATTCCCTGGTTTTCTGACTTTCCGGCACCAGGGTTTGGTTTCCATTTTCATTTTCTTCCCCCTTGCCTTTCTTTTTCTTTCCCCTCATTTCTGTCTTTAGTTTTGTTTTGTTGGTTTTTTGAGGCAGAATCTCACTATGTCTTGAACTCACTGTGTAGCCCCAGATGGCCTTGAGCTAGGAGTGATCCTTCTGCCTCATTACAGGTATGTGCCTCTATACCCTGCCTTCTTCCTCCTGATCTGTGGTCTCACTGCTATTCAAGTTGGCCTGAAAATCCTGGGCTCATGAGATCCTCCTGCTTTGGACTCCTGACTCCAGGGTGGTTGAAATAATAGGTAATAATAGGTTTCTATTTTCCTTTGGGTCTTTAGTATCTAGGTGCTAAAATAGAGGTTTGAGAGTGGTTTATTTATTTATTTTCTTTTTTCCTTTCTTTCTTTTGGTGTTTTAGACAGCATCTCACTATGTATTTGCTCTGAACTTATTATGTAGCCCAGGATGGCCTCAAACTCTAAGCAATTCTCCTGCCTCAACCTCTTGAGGGGTGGGACTCCCAGGCATGTGCCACCATACCCAGCTGGCAATGATTTTCATCTAGGTTCCTCTTATTTTCTTTTCTTGTTGCATGGCAGTATTTTTTTTTTTAGCATTCAAAACATTATTTACTTAAAATTACAAACATAATACAAGCTTTTGTAAAACAAGCAAATAAGACCGAAAGTTGATAGTCTATCTGCTATGGCTTGGATCTCTAATGTCTCCCAACCGTCCTGGGTCAAGGGCTGCAGCTCAGCCTGCTGTGCCATAGGAGCGAGGTCACCTATAGGATGGGGACTCCGTTGGAGGCTGCAGGTCCCTGGGGCAGGCCTTGAAGTGCCTTTAGGGCCTTGAATGTGACCCTAAAATGAAAATTTTACACCCACATAAAAGTTGAGAGGTTAGAATTATGCTAAATACCATGAAATTGCTAATATTCTACCATTTTTGACATACAAAACTGAAAATGACAATTAGGCTGGGAGTGGTGGCACATGCCTATAACCCCCACACTTGGGAGGCTGAGGCAGGAGGATCACTGGCCAGCCTGGGCTACAAAGTGAGTTCAAGGCCAGCCTGAACTACATAGTAAAACCCTATCTCAAAAAACACCAAAAAAAAAAAAAAAAAAGAATCGATTAAACCTCATATAAAACACTCAGCTATTTATACCCAGATTCAGTAATTTTCAAGAACACATAAAAACCAACACATTGTCTGAGTCACAGACAGGAAGCAGCTGCTCAGTGAACTTCAATTCTGAAAGAAAAATCTTTAAGAGCTGGATGTGGTGGCACACGACTGCAATCCTAGCATTAGGGAGGCTGAAGCAGGAGGATCGTTTCAAGTTCAAGACCAGCCTGGGCTATATAGTGAGTCCAAGGCCACCCTGAACTATACAGTGAGACCTTACTGCTTCCCTTCCCCCTAAAAAAGAAATGCCTTCAACTTTACAACACTCAGTCCCAAAGCATGTTTATAAAAAGTACCTGAAAAATTACATTTTTAGTTTGAAGTTGCAGGAAATATACCGTGATTTGTCTGTATGTCATGAGCAATACCTACACCATAAGTAGAGCATCCCAGGAATTTTGAAGAACGAATTGTCTTTAGAAATTTTGCTCCACTACCAAGGGAGCAGAGTCTCCTCGGGGCCAAAAACATGCTACAGGAGAGAAGAAAAATCAGGAAAGGGAGTAAATATACAACCATTGTTTCACTATCAGATCACAATATTCTTTTTATGTGTCTGTCATTATAACAAATCAAAATGGGGTCAGTTGTGTCAGCCCTAACAAACGAAAAGTACTTCTAATTTGGGTATGGTGGTACATACCTATAATCCCAGCACTTGGGGAAGCTAAGGCAGAAGGACCACTGTGAATCCTGAATTACAAGACTGCACTGCACTGCAGCCTGAACTACATGATAAAAATTCAACTTACATTCAGGCAAAGAGCAATTTTACTTATGATTTTGCACTGTGAATGTTGCAATATGAAAAGGCTGCTGAATGAATGCATACAGATACTGTTTCTCTCTCTAACAGCTACAACCAAATCTTAGGCAGGAAATATACTCAGTGGACTCAGAGGGACTACTGATACTAGTGCCTACAAACCTCCTAAATGTGAAGGCTGCCGGAAACTTTAGCTGTAAAAAATAATACAGAAGATGTTCCTTTTCTTTTCTTTTTGACAGGGTTTCCCTACATAGTTCAGGCTGGCCTGGAACTCTTTGTAGCCCAGACTGGCTTTGAACTCACAGCAATCCTCCTGCCTCAGCCTCCCCAGCGCTGAGATTATACATGCTAATCTTATCAATAAAATCTCTGCCCAAATGGCTGCTGCTGAAAACTCTTGCCCCGGTCAATGAAGCTATAATAGCCTGTCAGCTATTTTAGATGATGTCAACCTATGCTAAGCACTCTTTTTTCTCCCCCAAGACAGAGTTTTGCTATATAGTACAGGGCGGAATGCAATATAACCCATGACCTGGAGTTTGTGATCCTCCTGTACTCAGCCTCCTGAGTTCTCGAATACACAGATACCACCCTCCCACCTTGCAGAGAATTTTTTGGATTGTCTGTTTACTTGGTTGGTTATTCATTAGTTAATGTATAACATAAATTCCAACTGGAGGAACCTTGTGTATTGTTTCTCTGTCACACAGTAGGTATTCAGTTACATAATTGTTGAAGGACTAAATACACATAAAATCACTTTAAAATGTTTTAAGTGGGCTATATTTAAGAAGAATCCTTTTGTGAGAGTAACTTTCTATAAGGCAAATGGTGTTCCCTTATGCCCATTTAAATTCAGCATGATTTAAACACTGTATAAGCCAACTGCTTTCCTACAAGTAAACAAATAGGAGCAATAGCTTCACTTCTTGGGATAAACTAGGGTGACAAAGGATGACTCAGAAGGCATAGCTTCTAGCCTTGACATGTGAAAAAAAAAGTTTCTATCTTTAAAACAGTAACTTTCTGCAGTTGGTGCTGAGCCAGTGAATCCGTGGCTCAAAGATAAATAAACTCAATCACTGCTGAAACACACTGTCCGGGCTCATGTGCACTTAGACTGCAGTTTCGGAGAGGTTCCACCCCACTCCGGGTGAGCTGCCACCTGTAGCCACCAGGCCTCAGTGCTCATCTTCTTGGGGAGTTGCCAGGGAAGCTGCTCATTACAAGTTCAATTCCTTCCACACCTCTTGCAAAACACACTACTCATCCTCTTTTGCAATCTTCCACTGTGCCCTTTGGGATTGGCTCACCATAATCTGGCACTTCACTTCATCTTTGTTTTCTGAGATCTTTCTACCTCCTGCTTGAACTCAATTCTCACTGTTCCCTGAAGATGCCACTTTTGTGTTTGTGTCTATACATACATCTATATCTAATGCTATCTCAAATGCTTTTCAATTACTAGTGGCAAAAAATCTGAAATCAGCTGTCTTAGGCAATTTTCAAGTTTACATTATTACTGATCACAGCTGCCATATTTACTGGTGAACTCTTTCCTGCTATTTAGTTTGCTATTGCCCAGCTATTACTTTTTCCTCTGCCCCATTTATCTATCTTCTGTGGTTCCTTATCAGGAATCAAGGAATCGTTAGGGAAGTTTTCTTCTCAACCCCAAGTACTGTGATCATTCTAGGTCTTAGTACCGCCTTCTGCCAGGACCCACCAAACAGCTACGTACGCCTCCTCTCGTCCAGGGCTCTTGTCCTCCATTTGGCTCTAGTGCCTCTTTCTTACAATCACACTCTGTATCTTGCCGTTACCCCAAACTGGTTTGATCCCAAGATAACAAAAAAGACAACAGAGATTCTTTTCCTTGTGCTGTAACTTATTTTACTAGCGGCCTCCTTTTGCTCAATGTGGGGCAATCTATGTTTGTACCCATTACTTCAGAGGAAGTTTGCCGGTAAAGTCAGTTTGGACCTTCACAAAGCTTAAAATATCGCAGATCAAACCCTGACTCCTCCCCAAAACACCCTATTCCTGACAGTTCGACATTAGTGACAGCCCTCATTGTTCTCCTGCCTCTCTCCTATCCACCTTAAATGGCGGGATTTTTCAAATCCAGACCCAGCTCTTGTACTGTGCTACTGCCTCCGCAGGTAATCTGGTAGACGCTTTGGGGGCTTTGATGGAGCACGCCTGCAACCTCAGAGCTCCAGCAGATGGCGACTTCGAACCCAGTCTGGTGATTTAGACGCAGTCTCAAAGTAAACAATTAAAACGGTTTGGGGGATGTGGGTCAGTGTCCAGGCTGTGGGTTCAATCTCCAGTACAGCAGACAAAAGCCAAACAAAACAAAACAAAACAAAACAAAACAACCCACTCAAACAAAAACAACTCTAAGCAAACTGATTAAACAGATTTTTTAAGTGTTTGCTGATTCTCTTAGCAGTGGGAAGAGAAAAACTAGTGCCCCTTTGACTATTAATGCTCCTTCAGAGGTATTTTGTTTGAAATAAAATCTCAAAGGGAAAATTGTAAGTACTATCCAACATCACTGAATTACTGATTGATTTTTTAGGTGGCCTCGTGTAAAATGGTCATACTACTTAATTTCCAGCCTTAAGTGTTCCCTCTGCCTCAGTGGTCAGTATTGTGCCTACCTGGACAGGAAGCCCTTTTCCTGTATCAATATGCCTAAATCATCCCAATAAAACTCTCTTGCTGCGCTTTCTTTGGGGAGGCATTGCTTTGAGGGTGAACTCCAGTGTGCCCCTTCCTTCATTCTTTCACTTCTTTAATCTCCTCCAGGTCGTGCTGATTAGCTTTGCCTCACCAAGGAGCAACTCTACCCCATTCAGTGATAGATTCAGAACCTCTGAAGCAGCTTTTTTGGTCTGCACTTTAAATAAACAAGCCTCAAACAGTATTTTCTAATGTAATAACACTGCATGTATGTATTAGGTGTATTCACTGATAAACTAAATAAATTGATAAGTTTGGGTATCATGGAAAAAAGGGAAAAAATCAAAAGGCATCTAGCTTTTAACTCTGAAGTGTATTTTCATTGCATTTTTCCTGATTTCTCCCTGAAATGATGCTTGGTTTGAAAATAAGGAGGCAAACGTGAATTGGGAGTGTTCCAGTCAAATCTAATCACGGCATAAAATTATTGGTGCATAAAATCCATGTTCAAATGCACATGATGGACGGAAAATTAAAATGAGCTTCCAATTTGCCCACCACTGGAATCAACTCTTTAAGGTAACATTCAGAAGGCGTGCTTGGCAGACTTTGAGGTCTAGTGAATTGCTGGGAGCAGAATCCAAAACTTAAAGGTAAAGAAAGGAGTCAAAATAACCTTTTTAAGTTAAAAAAAATTCAAAGATAGGGGCTGGGGATTTAGCTCAGCGGCATAAGTGCCTGCCTTGAAAGCAGGCAGTTGTGAGTTTGATCCCCGTACCGATAAAAAGGAAAAAGACAAAAAAAAAAAAAAAAAATCAAAGATTAACGCCGTGGACTTTCTTTCAAATTATCAAGTTATACACATTTGCATGTGCAGGAAGAGATTTAGTTAATTTGCCCAAGTCAAGAACAGGCCAGTTAACCACAGCATGAGGATGAGTAACAGAGGCAACTGCGAAAAGGTTTTGTGCTAGTGCATGGCTCAGATTGCCAGAAAGGTCTGGCCAAGCAGATGATTTTTCCTTCTTGCTTTACCTGTTATTTGCTCGCAGAATGCTTATAAAGTTCACTGATTACAAAAACACAGGGTGCCTAGGCGAACTAGGTGCTGGCTGGGGAAAGTACAGCTGGAAGGATAAACTTCAAAGTCAGTCATCATAGCAGAAGTAGAAAAAAAAAAATAGCCAGTCAGCCAACACAAGATTAAGGGCTGAAAAATCGCTAAGTAAAATTATATCCCCCGCGGGGTGTGTGTGTGCTGTACATTGATCCCCCCCCCCCCAAGTGGAAAGCGTTCTACCACTAATTCACGCTGCCAATGCCTGCAGCACTCTGGGAAAATGGGACTCGTGTAATTATAGCTTTCTCCAAAGGGAAGAAATGTGACTATGAGTTAGCACACGAGGTAAAACTTTCCAACAGCTGGTCCGCAGCGGCTGCGAGGGGTGGCAGTGAGCCAGCTGGCCGCTAGTCCCGCCCAGCAGTAGAGTTCACTAGTGGGGTGAACGATTTCTGTGGTAAGCAGTAGCTCTAGGCCTTCTCAAAAGTAAGATTGTCCCTCTTTTCTCCTTTAAAAAACTTCGCATTCCTCTAACATTCACTCACTTGGCGGGTTAACAGCCTTTGTTTCCTTTTTGCAAAATGAAGAGCTCGGCTAAGAAATGAACTGCAGCCAGCTTCAACATTACTTTATAAATGCGCAAAATTGCAAAATAAAAAGCAGATGGGCACGACAGTCCGGCGTGCAAGGACTGCGTCCCAGGAGGCCAGTGGGAACTTCTGCATTCGCCCTCTAGAGCTGCCAGATTTTAAGCCCCAAGATTGCACCTGCCTGCAGGTGTCTCAGCTCTGAACACCAAAGCCGAGTAAGATACACTACAGATGGGGGCTTTTCCCAGTTTCTCAAGTTTCGGAGGCCTTAGCCTCGCGCTTCATCCCGCAAGCTCCGCACACCCCGCAAGCCAGGGCTGCAACGCCCGGCAACCACAGGCGCAGGGTACAGCGAACACTCACCTGGCGACTAAGGGTACCAGTTTCTCCCGGATTTGGGGTCTGCGGGAGTGAGTTGATCCAGGGCGCGTAGCCCGGTCGAGAGTGACTCTGAATTCTAGATGATGATTGGCTGGAAGGTTAAGTAGGAGCTCCCGGATTGGATACGGGGTGGTGGGCGTGAGGGGCTCAGGAGTCAGGAGGCCCCGGATCTGGCCGGGGATTGGCTATAAGGTCTGGGTTAAAGATACAGGTTGGTTGCAGAGTGCGGGTGCAAATGTGAAGAGAGTGGATGTTCCGGGGTAGGAAGGGACGTAGATGTGGAGCTGAATGACGATTGGCTATGGAATTTAGACCTGAGGTTTGGTTTGGATGTGCCAAACTCATTGGGGTGAGTTATTGGACAAGGATTGGCGGGAGGCGGGTTGAGCACTCGGTCCTGGGTTTGGATAAAGCATAGGTTCACATTGGAATAATTTAGGTGCTGTAAAAAGAGGGAGCAAGAACGGCCTGGAGCTTTCCCTTCCTGAAGAGCAAAGTGAGTTTAATGGAAGACCTTAGAATGAAAGCGGGATGCGAGACTGAAGGAGGAAGGTTTTAAAAATATGAACGGTAGGGGCTGGTGGTTTAGTTCAGCGGCATAAGCTCCTTCTTGCAAGTGTGCGGTCCTGAGTTCGATTCCTGGTACCGATAAAAACGAAAAAAAAAAAAAAAAAAAAAAAAAAAAAAAAAAAAACAAAAAACTTAAACGGAAAATGGAGAAAAAGGAGCACCGAGATTCACTCTTTTGGGGAGGGCGGTGTTAGTGACAGGCGATGAGAATCGAGTTTTAGATTAGATTTATTTCGTCTTGTGTTTTAAGGAGATGAGAGGATAAGAAAGTGAGAGCAGCATTAGCATTGTTACTCTGAAAGGAAAGAGCAAAACCAAATTTTGTTTTTATTTTTTAATTTTATTTTAAAAAGAGAAAAGTCAGAATAGAAAAACAAAAAGTAAAATACAATAGTTATTTTGCACATTGTTATCTTCAAAAGTGTTGCTCAGATTACCAGATGTAGGCATGCAAAATTGATCTAATCGTATGCGTATTAACTGTTCTTAGAACTAATAGAATTAGTAGTATAGTCATCTTAGCTATCATATATATACGTATGTGTATATATCTATATGTATACACACACACACACACACACACACGCACGCACACACAAATTTTTGTATTTTTCCTATTCCCTTTCCTCCTTTCTTGTATCCCAGTTACTTTTCCTGGTCAGTTTCTTACTCTTACACAATATGTATTGTAGATTTTGGATCTTATTTACTCTTTCTGTTTCTTACACTAGGGAAACAACATGTTATTTTACACATATGAGTTTGATTTATCTCACTTATGAGCATGGTCTCAAGTCACATCCATTTACTGTTAAAAGCCGCAATGCTATCTTTCTTAATAGTTGAGTAGGGCTCCAGTATATAAAAATACCACATCTCTTTTATCCATTCCTCAGTAGATAGGCATTTGGGTTGTTTCCAAGATTTGGCTTTTACAAATTGTGCTGCTGTAAACACTGGTGCACATATATCACTGTGGTATGCTTTCATTTCTTCTGGGAACATGCCCAAAAGTGGGATATCTAGGTCGAATGGAAGCCCTAATCCTAGCTTTTTGAGGAACCTCCAGACTGAGTTCCACAGTGCCTGCACCAGTGTACACTCCCACCAACAGTGGAGAAGAGTTACTTTTCCTCTCAGCCCTGCCAGTATTTGTTATTGGTTGATTTTTTGAGGTTAGCCATTTTTTCTGATGCAATCTCAGTGTGGTTTTAATTTGCGTTTCTCTAATGACCAATGATGATGAACAGTTTTTCATAGGTTTACCATTTATATGTGAGAGGTGTGTGTTCATCTCAGATGCCCATTTTTGGATTGGGTCTTTGAATCTGGGGGGCCTGATTTTTTAAAACTTCTTTATATGTTCTAGATAAAAGCCCTTTGAGGGACAGTTGGCTAAGATACTTTCCTAATTTGTGGATTTTCTTTTCGGTCTCTTGAAAATTTCTTTTTACCTGCAAAAACTTAGTAAGATGAAATCCCTGTTGTTGATTCTGGGAAGTATTTCTTACGCTGTTTGATTTTTGTTCATTAACTCGCTGCCTTGCCATGTTTTATTTTTGTGATACTGGAGATTGAAACCAGGGAGCACTGAGCTAAATCCCAGCCCTTTTGAAATTTTATTCTGAAACGTGGTCTGCCTAAATTGTCTAGTATGACCTTGAACTTTTCATTCTTTTGCCTCAACCTGCTTAGTAGCTGGAATTATAGTCATGAACCACAGTGCTGGGCTGATTGTGAAAAGTTTAACAGGAACATCACGGTCAGTTCTTAACAATGTGAGGTTAAGTGTTCTGTTCAGTTCCCAATACAAGGTTGCTTTTCTTTCATGTCTTAGGCACATTGAGAGCCAATCATGGTGGCATAGTCTTGTAATCCCAAGTACTTGGGAAGCTGTTGTAGTTTAGAGGTGATTGATTATGAGTGGTACTGTAGTCATCAGTGGACTTGTCCACTGCTGAGTGCAGTAACTAAATGTGTTGTTAGCAGGTCAGTGGGGCTGCAGTTGGGTCACTGGGGCCGTGGTCTGGGAGGGTGTATTCCTACAGCCCTTTCTCTATCAGCTTCCTGGGTGCCATAGGATGAACAGATGTTCTTAACCAGTCCTTTCCACCATTCCATTTCTGCTTTGGAACCAGCCAATTTTGGACTGAACCTCTTAGAAAATGTGGGCCAAATAAACCTCTCTCCCTTTAAGTTGTGGGTGCCAGGTGTTTGGTTCCAGAGGTAGAAGGTGACTAATACAGCAGCTTGGGCAGGGGCATTGGGAGTTCAAGGCCACACTGGCTAACGTAGCGAGACCCCACCTCAAAAAAACTGAACAAACTAAAAACAAAAGCAAATCAGAATGCAGTGTATACATACTTAGGAATCATGCTCTGCTGAAAGTGTTTTAAAGCTTGCATTCTTGTAGGGAGAAAGGGAATAAACAGGTAAATATGGAAAATGACTTCAGATTGTGAATGCTATGATAAGCCCCCCCCCTTCTATCTCCCTCCTTTGCTTTGTCAATGATAAGGTGACTGAGTATGTCTGGAGTTGTTTACACATCTTCTAATCTGTTCTATTGATCTTTGGGTCTTTTTTTTTTTTTTTTTGCTAGTACCATGTTGTTTTTATCTCAATAGCTTTACAGTATACATTCTAGTCTGGGATTGTGACATCCCCTGATTTGCTTTTGTTGCCAAAAATTGTTTGCTATTCTAGATCTCTTCTGATTCCTATAAATTTTAAGATTGTTTTTTCAAATTCTGTGAGATATACTGATGGAAGTTTGATTAGAATTGCATTAAATCTGTGTAACAGTTTTGGAACTTTGGCCATTTTCACTATATTGATTTTTCCTACCCAAGAGCAAGGGATATCTTTCCATTTTCTGATATCCTCTTTAGTTTTGTTTATCAGAGCACTGTAGGTTTCAATGTAGAGGTCTTTTAAATCCTTCATTAGGTTGATTCCTAGGTATTTCATTTTTTTTCTTTAGATGCTATTGTGAAATGTGTTTTTTCTGTGATTTCTCTCTCAGTGAGTTTGTTATTCATGTACAGGAAGGCTATTAACTTTGAGTGTTGACTGTGTATCCAGCTACACTACTGAATTTACTTATTAAATTTAGCAGTTTTTTCTTTCTTTCATTTTAGTACTGGGACTCCATCTCAGGTCAGGACCTTGTGCATGTCAGGCAGGCGCTGCGTCACTGAGATATGTCCCTGGCCCTTTCTTTCTCCCTCTCTCCCTCTCTTTCTTTCTCTCTCTCTCTGTCTCTCTTTCATACTTAATTTTGGGTTGCTGCAAATGGATTTCAGAAACTTCCTGTGTCAGACATTCACTTTTCCGTCTTCCACTGAGCTTCATTCCTCACTCTACGTTACAAGGAAAGAAGCAAGGATGGGCATGATAGTGGAGATGATAAACAGCATATGCTCTTTTGAGGACAGGCATTTGAACCCACAAGTTAATGATAATATGGCAGCCTTTCAATAAAATGATTCTGCAAAAGAAAGTGGCAGTTGAAAAAAGCCCTAGATGGGGCCTGGGGATTTAGCTCAGTGGTATAAGTGCCTGCCTTGCAAGCAGGCAGTTGTGAGTTCAATCCCCGGTACCGATAAAAAAAGAAAAAAAGCCCTAGATGTGGGCAGTGCATTCTAGCAACTCTTTGAAAGTACTAGCTCGTAGGTATATTTCCTTTATCCTTGCTGCTTGTTTTCTGAATACAAAACCCAGTATATTCCTTATGTAAATAAATCTTTTTTCAACTCATCTTACAGGTGTGTCCAACTTGTGGGTTGCCTCCCTATCTTAAGTGACACAACTTCTTTCATTTTAAACATTTTTCACTAAAACGAAACCAAAAGAGGCCAAAGTAAGAAAGAAGAAAATATCTACAAAATAACAAACTAGGCAGGCCACAGATTGAACACAGCCTGGGACAAAATATATCCTGAAACATAGAACATGGAAGGCAGTAAGTATAGTTGATTTAATTAATTAATTGATTGATTTTTTTTAAAGTGTAGTATCCCAACTCTACAACTTAGAACAATGCTCCGTTTTTAGTTAAGTGTAGAATCATTCCTTAAGGAAGACGAAAAGAGAATCACTAAGATGAGCTGCTGGTTATTCTCCACGCGTCAGTATTCTTTTCCTCTTTAAAGAAGGAATAAAGTCACAGTCACTGTCACTGTTCATCATCATGAGTCAGCTCGACTCAAGAAGGAGATGCCCAGGAATTTAGTAGAGTACCTTTCTGGGTGTTTCATGGTGGGTCATGAGGGGTGGTCTTGGGTACTGTACATGGTCCTCACTCTGTTCCTCTCTGCCACCTTTGTTCTGCTCCCCGGGTGCCATGAACTAAGCAGCTTTGCTTGGCTGTGCCCTTCCAGCATAATGTTCCTGCCTATGGGACTATGGACTTAGTACCTGGAAGCTGTGAATTAAATTCAACCTTTCCTTGAAGTTGTGGGTGTTGGGTATTGTGTTCCAGTGATGGGAAAGCTGACTAGTAGAGACCACTAATTTATGCTAAGGATATGGTACATGAAGACTAGATCAGCCAAGAACCATATTCTGTCCAGTGGGGTATAAATGGAAGCTGTAGGTGCAGCTTCTGTGTGATATCTTGGAGAAGTAGCAGGCCTTTCTTCTTCCCATGGTTCGTGGTTTCCTTGCCAGTTTGACTATTGCTACTTACTCATTTATTTATTTTACTGGATATCTTACTTTCTTTGTTGCTGAGATAAATACCTGACACCCACAGTTTAAACATTTTGGCTCATATTTCAGGCCATGTTGGACAGCTCCAGAGAAGAAACAGCATAGCAGAAGGGGAAAAACTGCTCACCTCATGACAACCAAGAGCAGAGATGGAAAAAGAGGAGCTGGGAAAGGAGATGTACCATTCCAGGTCAGCCCCTTGTGACTCACCTTTTTGGTCCGAGGGCTACCTCCTAGCAGCAAGTCCACTGAAGCCCCTATCATCCAATCACCTTGCAAAAGCCCCACTTTTGAACACATGAGACTCTTGGGGGACATCTAGATATAAACCATAGCACTGGGGATTTCACTAGGCCCTTTGCAATAAGCTAAATCCTCAGTTCTTGTTAAAAATGTTACTTGAGACAAGGTCTCCCCAGGTTACCCAGGCTAGGCTCAAAGTTTCAACCCTCTTGCCTCAGCATCCCAGAGTGTTGGAAGGGCAGACCTGTGTTTTCATGCCTGGCTTGAGTGAGTCTCGATGAGGACAGACTTTGAATCACCATGTGGAATCTGCAAGATGAAGTTGTATAGAGCAATAGAATGAGAGAGGAAGAACCTGAGTTCTGACATGTGGAGCCCTTATTCTAGCCTGTACCAACCAGCTGTATTTATGTGAAAGAAGAACCAGCTTCAATTTTGCTTAACTATTTTATGCTTTAATATTACAAACAAATCATTAAATCAGTGTGTTTTTAAACATATTATTCATCTCATTAAAAGTCTATCTTTGCAAATTATACATTGCTACTGCATATTCACAATGTGTAATTTTTATCACATTTATATGTGATCCATTTTTAACTCTCTAAAGTTATAAAATGTCTCTTTAAAGTTATATCTGGATGAATTTAGCAAGAAGGAAAATTTAGTTCTTTAACCCATTTGTTTATGATTCAGAGTCCTTTTCTTAATAGTGGTTTTATCCATCTTTTTGTGAAGATTATGTGGAGACTGTAGATCTCTATGCAAGGAAGCAGGCTTCTCCTTGGACCCATGAGTGAAGATTATTCATTCCAGCATCTGGAAATCACATGATTGTTCATTGATTGGTAAGCCTCCATATAATGAACTGTACATTGTCTTCAGTAAGAAACTAGAATGTCTGTCCCTCATGTAAGAATGGATTGTACGCTTGGGCCAATAGATGCCCAACTCTTTGCTGAGACTTTGACCTAAGACTGTGTTCAGAGTCTGTTTATATGCTGATGGTCATCTGGAAAAAGAAGCACCTGAATGACGGCAGTGATACCTTCCATATAGATACAGCGGTAAAATGTATCCTTGGTACACAATTTACAATCTTTTGAGTAGGATGAATTTTTTTTTTTAAGTGGGACCTGAGGTGGAAGCCAGGGCTTCATACAAGCTAAGCAAGTGCTTTACCACTGAGCTACAACCCCAGGCTATACTTTCAAAAAACATTTTTTTTAAAACAGGGTCTCTCTATGTAGTTCAGGCTGGTTTTGAACTCACTATATAGTCCAAGCTGGCCTAGGACTCACAATGGTCCTCCTGCCTCAGTTTCCCAAATGCTCGGCTTATAGCCACGTACCCACACACCCAAGTGATTTTAACTGTTGTACTTCATGTCTTAAAAGATTTTTGGTATTGTGCGAGACCTAATTATTACCAAGTGAAGTGACACTTGCTCTACTAAAATTGCTTGGCTTATGCCTTAAGTAAGAGCAATAGGAAAGAAAGGTCTATATGTTCTTTAAGAAGTTTTTTATTAGTACATGTTTATGTTCATTTTAGGGAATAGGTATATGTACTTAACATATCCTGATTCTTTTACTTCCCTTCTCCTTTCTACCCTCTTCCCTCCCTCCGTCTCTCTAGATCTTTCTCTTAATTATTTTTTAGTTCACATTTGCAATACATAATGATTACGTACATCATAGCTCATTGGTACACGTATGTGACACATCTTAGACCTTTGTGTGTCTTCTTTCCCTCCCTCCCTCCAGTGCTCCATCTCTTGGTCCCTTTTCCATTTGCAAAATGTCTATTTCCCTGTTTTCTTCTATTAATCTTTTATTTTGCTTTTCTTTAGGTCCTTAGCTTATGATGCATTTCTTGTTTCCCTTTCTTATCAGGTCCTTGAGCATATTTATCTTATTTTGAAGTTTTATGCTCTCATTCTGGAATCCCTTCCTTAGTAATCATTCCTGTTCCTAAAAAAGAAAAAAAAAAAAAACTCAATAAACCATAACACTGAATAAATTACTATATTCTGTCTAGTTTGTGTATTCACAGATTATTTGGCATTTAATCTCCTAGTAAAAATTTCTGTCTCCCTAATTTTCATCCTACCTATTTTTGGGCAGTTGAGCTCCATAGTTACTTCTTTGTGTGTCCCTTAACTAAGAAGTAGTTTCAATTATATTTCCTAAATAATGGTGACCCTAAATTATCAATCATTCTCAAAATCTGATAGAGTGCCTGAAACAGGTTAGAAAATTGGATCTAAGGGCAACAGATCTTGTTAGCAGTGATGGCAGAAAATAGGTTAGAAAATTAGGGTAATACACTGACCATACTGAATTTTGCACCTAATTTGCATGAACTGCATCGAGGCTCAGAAAAAAATGAAAGATGAAGTTGATTTTAAGTATACTGCATGTCTTTATAGGATGCCAGTCTTAGTTAGTCAAAGTATTTAAACTTTTAAGAGTTTTTCAGACTATTTATTCTCTCAACCCCTCACCTTCATCCTTCTTTTCCTTTTCTTTGAGAGTCTAGTCTGTCTGCAGAATGGCATTAGTCGTATCCTCCTTGGACTGCAATTATTTCTGCAGAAGCTCTTCAGCCTTAGAGACCAGAGAACAGGGAGTTAACAGTAGGAAGTGACAGGATTTGTTTCTGTCGGTCTCCCACCTCTTCATACTCTAGGAATTGCTCCTGTTGTCTCTACTATTGTTGGTGGCTAAGAGTCCCCATCACAGGAATGGGCACATGCTTCAGGCTGGCTAGTCAGAGCTCCTACCCAAAGCTTTGCATGGAGGTTCATTGTGGAGGTTCAAAGAGACTCTGTATCCTCTGATGTCTCTAAATTGAGAGTTAATGGTGTCATGGTCTGCATGGGCCTAGTGTGCTGGAGGACAGCTGCCATCTTGGAGAAAGTAGATCCAAGCAGCAAGTGGAGGGAGGAAGAAAGGAGGGAAGTGTGGAGTTGTGTGAGTAATGGAAGGGCCGACATGACATCACTTGAAATCTTCTCCAGTTGTCATTTAAAAGTAGTTTGAGTCTGATGAATTAACATTTTTATTTAGGGGACAATCACTGATTTTCTGCCTCTTACAGTGGAAAAACACAGTATTACATTGGGTAACAGTAACTTTCTATGGTTATTCTGACAATTTAATTTGTATTTGTTAGTTGAGTGACCTCTGATGAGTACCTGGGACATATGTAGCGGGACAGACTCCATGTAAATGTTATTGAAAGTGTGGCTGTTAAGACGACTGTGAGGGACATCCCTGAGCAATTGCCTTGGTCACATTGGTGTTTAAAGCATGCACCCAGCAGCTTTCCAGAATGCACAGATAAACGTTGGTTACCTGTGGCCCCTCACTTCCTGGCAGTACTGTTCCAGGTCTTCTGCCCTCTGAAATAAAATGTAGCCTCCTGGCTTAGAATAAATGCCTTATTTCATTTCTTCTTCTACAGTACTGCAAATATCTTGAAATAAAGCTGAGCAATGATTTGAAGCTGTTTCCAAAATCTGATTATAAAAATCTTCCATCTTTTTTTCTAGCTGGGCCTTTCATACAAAGATAGTAAAAGAATAATGGGAAAAGATGTTAGCTTTAACTCAGAATTTCTGGAAACTCATTTTGAGGAAGAATCTATGACACCCTAGAAAAACAGACAGGGCACCTCCAAGGGCCATATCCTTCCATCTGATCTTTCTTTCTACTGCCATCTCTGTCTCTGTGGAGCTGAAGTTCAGAGCAGAGATTTGGATTTTTATTCTTTATTTTTGGTGGTACTGAAGATTGAGCTAGGACCTTGCCCATTCTGGGGTCTATCACTGAGCTATACCCCCAGCCTAAACTGCTAACATGATGCACCTTAAGATGTAAATATTTACCTTTTCAGATGGATCTGATGATTGCACATAGAACAAATCTGGCTCAACATAAACCTCCCTCTGTGCTTTTAGCTTTGATAGCACATCATTCTGACAATGCTGGGCATGTAATTTGATATGAAGTACTGATTATTAATTATAATGTATTAAATTACATTAAAGGGGATATGATTAATTTAATCATGAGAAAAAAGTACTTCAAACCTTTGAGTCCACAATAATGTTTCTTGTTAAGATGGCTATTCATAGGTACCTGTCACAATGCTGAAATCAAGCAATAATTTATTCTTACAATGTAATTATTCATTTCCTCATAGATCTTGCTTTTAGAAATCCAAATCCAGAGAAACATAAGAAAAAATTACCACTAGATCCTTTTGAAGGAATTTCAAGGGATTTCTGATGAAGATCTTGATGGTTTCCCTCTCACAGGCCCTTTGTAGGTCCAGCTACTCCTGCAGGGTGTCTGTTGGCAGCTGCACCCTCTGGCCTGGCTTCTGGTCATAGTGGACCAAGGCCTGCACTGCAGCTGAGGTCGCTCTCTGGCCAAGGCCAGGACTGCGTTCTGTATGCAGGGCAGATCCCCACTGCTGATGGCACTGACACAGCTCAGCACCAGGCTCTCTAGACCTACACATAGAGAGCAAGGGATAATGCATGTTATAACAATAAAGAAAAGCTTCTTACCTGTGTAATTCAGCATGTCATTCATCATATTTTTCTCAAAGCATCAATGTTCTCAGCATCACTCTGCAATTTGCTAGAAATGCAAGTTTGACCTCTGTGTCAGATTTATTGAATTAGCTCTTCCAGTTCAGCAGTATGTGCACGTGATGTATACGCCTGACAAAGATCAAGAATCCTGGTTCTAAATCACGGAGTTCTGGTAAATATTTTCATGTACTTTAATAACAAGTACCATTAGGAGCAAGACTGTATCTCATCATCACTGTTCAAAAGAAGCCTTTAATCACTATTTATGAAAGAAGAGATGCAATCACAATCAATGATACTACCATTTGGATAATAGACTAGACAGTGTTATCCAAGAGAACTTTATGTGTTGATACAATAGGGACTAGCACCTGAGCACACGAACCCTTGAAATATAGCCATGAGATCTCAATTTTTAACTTTCTTGTATTTAGATCAATTTACCTTTAAATTCAAATAGTGACAATTGGGTAGTAGCTGCCATGTTGCAGAATGAAGCCTAGTTTAGGAAGGCAGTTTTGAGAAATAAAACTGGTTTCCCCTTTCAACCTTTACCATCCTTTTCTTTCTTTCTTTTTTTTTTATTTAAGGAGAAAAAGGAAAAAAACAGAAAAAGGGTACAAGTAATACAAAATTTAAAAAATAAACAGTAAGAAATCACTAGTTAATAGATTACATATTCTCATCTTAGAAATAGTTGTTCAAGTTACAAAATTGAAGCATATAAAGTGGAGTGCAAACAGTGAGAGTACAAACAGTTTTGTTCAACGATCCAAAAAACACTCAGTAATATGGTTATCTATCTTATACACTTAAACATATATGCAGTTATTACCTTTAGAGCACTTTCTTTTCTTTTCTTTTCTTTTCTTTTGTACAATGACAATTACACATTTTGGGTTTTATTACTCCCACAGTTCTTATTACTTTTTTTGAAGAGAGTAAAACCAAATGCAACATATCAGAACAGAGTCAGTCAAATCAAAAGGATGGACATAATAGATAAGGTAAAAACAAAATATAAGGTGATCAACAATGGTTGCCATACTGCCTCTTGCTATTTTAAGAAGAATTGGCAATTATAATAAAATTGAACTAAACAGTAAAGAATAAAACCAAAGCATTGGAGACATTACAGGATCTTAAAAGAAAATAATAGTCAACTGGAATGGGCGTCATAATGATTCTTATTGTCTTCACAGTTATGCCTATACTTTCGATCTTGGTACTATCAAGCAAAGC